TGGAATCAATTTATTAACTACCTTCCAAAGGGTGACAATGTGGCAAATTCCAGGTGTCTTTCCAGGCTCAGGGTTGAGGGCCCCGAGCTCCCTGTCTGAGGCTCTTATGGCAACACCCAGCCCAGGCTAGACAAGGTGACAGAGACACAAATGGATACAAAAGAAAAATACCACTCATGGGTGACTGGTGTTGTTGCTTTGGTGTGTCTCCTTCCACACATTTAATATCCATTCAATATATTCTTTATTCATTTTGTATCTTTATTTTTTTCTCTTTATATATTTTTCTCTTAATAATATGAGAACTTCTCCCACATTGTTGAATAGACTTTGGTGATGTTGCCTTTAATGCTACGTGATGTCCCACACTCTGGATGCACTGTAGTTTATTGGATGTTTCCTTTATTTTTTTTTATGCTGAAGTATTTTCCATAAATTTGATTTTTATAGATGGGCGTCCTTTTGCAATTTTTGAAAATTACATCTTTAGTAGATCCCAACTTCTGAAAATACTGCATCAAAAGTAGTGAATTCTTTTAAGACTCTTGGCACATCATGCCAAGTTGCTTTCTGCAAGGGCATTCTGGTATGTCCCACCTGCATCATATGCAAGTGCTCATCAATTAATCTTCTGTGAGCAGTGCGTATTTTAATTAAAACCAAGACAAAAAACTTTTTCAACATGGTGAGCTGAAAATGGTTCCCATTTTTATATGTTTTTTTGATACAAAGGATGAATGGTTTATATATTTTTCTATTGAGGCATTGGTGTTTTTCTTATTGATTTTAATATATATGATTAAATAGATCTATTAAATTATAAATTATAAATAATAGATTTAATTTTATATTTACATGTTATCTATCAAGGCAGAATGAGAGTAGAAGCATATTAGTCCCTTGTTTTTAGAATTTGTTGAAAATAATGTTTCAGGTTTATCAATTGACTTTTTATGTTTTTGGTGATTTTTTTAAAGTATTTATTTATTTGAGAGAGAGGGAGAGAGCATGAGCAGGGAGTAAGGGCAGAGGGAGAGGGAGAAACAGACTCCCTGCTGAGCAGGGAGCCCAAGGCCAGGACCCTGGGATCATGACCTGAGCCAAATGCAGAAGCTTAACCAACTGAGCCACCCAGGTGCCCAGTGATTGTTTTTGATATGAAGTTTTCAGTTTTGTGTAGTTAAATGGGATTTTTCCCTCTATGAGTTCTTCTATTTTTTTTTTTTTTTTTGGTTAAAGATTCCTTGTCCATTTGGAGTCTTAATTCTTTAATCATGTTTACCTTCTCTCTCTTTTTTTTTTTTAAGATTTATTTATTTGAGGGCCGAGGGGCAGAGGGAGAGAGAGAGAGAATCCCAAGCAGACTCTGTGCTGGGTGGGGAGCCTGACATGGGGCTTGATCTCAGGACCTGAGCAGAAACCAAGAGTCAGACGCTGAACCAGCTGAGCCACTCAGGCGCCCCCTACCTTATTTCTTATCAGTTAAAAAATTTGTTTGATTCCGAATTTTACTTTATTTTTCTTTTTGGGTATGTAATATGGTGTGAGATTCAATTTGATTTTTTTTTTTTTTTTTTTTGTCCCCAAAAGAGCCAATTTTCTCATCCCATTTGTCTTCTGCAGCTGGTTTGGATTCTCTTCTCACCTCTCGGCTCAGGCTTTCCCCTGATTTTACTGTCACTGTAACATGAGGTCAAAGGCCTCCTCTGCGGGCCTCAGTCCTGGCGAACTTTCACCGGGTGCCCCAGTAACACCTCTTACAAAGAAGGAGGCACATGGGCTACAGGGTGACCTCAGTGACGATAGGGACTGGCGTTTCCCCCGAATCCTGACAGCCCACACGCCCTTTCACTCAGCCGGCTTACTAGAAAATACCAAGAGGTGGCAAAACAGAAGGGACTTGGGACATCTTGGTGCCTGTAGGCTGGTCACTCTCACTATGTCAATTGTCTGCCAAGCAGGATGAAGTGGGTCAACCTGTCATCCGTAGGTCAGCAGACAGAGCCTCCGGAGCCTTTCCCATCTTGTTCCACCCCCATCAACAATTTGATCCGTGGGAACTAGAGTATGTGTTGCGTGCACTGTGGCCTACCACCCACACAAACAAAATTACAGATCTGTGGCTTCAAACACTTCAAAGGCCAGACATTAGCCAAGTCTCCTGTTAGCCTCCATGATCTAGGCGTGGTCAGGGTGTTGCTCTGCCTGGCACTGAGACTTTGAGCAATATTACAACACAGAGCTTAGCGCACGGCCGCTTCACGGCTCAAAATCACCCCAGAGTCCTTGCTGTGACCCAGGAGGCCCTCCCTGTGCTCGCCCCTGCCTGCTTCTCCGACCTCCCCTCCATCACCGCCCCTCTTGCGCAGTCTGCTTTGAGCCAGATGCCCTCCTGAACATTGCTTCTGAACACCCCCCAATTCATTTCCCTCTGCCTGGAACATTCTCTCCTCAGGCTCTTATGGCCCCGTTCCTCGCTTCATTCAGGTTACATGTCATCTCAGATCTTCCTTGATCACCCAACTTTAAAAACAAAAACAACAAAAAAACAGCCTGGGTCACTCTCAATTCTCTGCTTTTTCTTTATAGCACTTTATGTGACATTTTATACACCCATAAATACACACCCTCTTGTTTATTGTCTCTCCCAACTAGAATGTATGGTCTGTAAAGGCAGAAACATTGTGCTTCTCTACGTTTCCTCACCTTGGTCGGTATCTGACAGAGTAGATGTCCAATGGTTGGTAGCTTGAAAATGTTCAAATGTGAATACCATAGTTGACACAAGTCCAGAGAAAAGCTGTCATCCAAGTACCCAGCTGTAATAATGTACGTTATCTAGGGCCCTATGATGATCACAATGGGAAAATGGCCTTTATTCCAATCTGCAAAAGACTGTTTAAAAGTGAACATTCCAGAAAATATTACTTAATGAGACTTATGCGTGAGGATCTTGAATAAGTATTAGCTGATTAATCCTCACTAAAGCACTTTAAGGCAGACATTATCTCCATTATCACAGATAAGGATCCTGAGACTGTAACTTGCATGATGACATATTTATCGAAGGGACGCAATTCAGGATCTCAGATCTGACTCCAACAGCCAGGCTCTTTTCTGCTCTGGTGCACTGCCTTCCATCATCAGAGATGCTTAACATACATTATCCATTCGGAAAAAGAGCGCTCAGATGATTTAACCACGAGCACAGCTCCTGAGGGGTACAACCTAACCCCTAGGTTTTCTGATACCCACAGCCCAGAAACTGACAGCATAAAATACATAAAGCTTAAAAGACCATGGAACATGCATGCCCTTCCCCTAAGAATGAGTGAGCTCCACATCTCATTACACTACAGTGGACGTAGTTGTTTCTGAGGTCTCATCTTCCAAAGATGGTAGAGTTTTTGGAAAGAGAATAGCAAGAAAGCTGGTTCTTAGACAATATATATTCATTTGCTCATTCAATAAATATGTATTGAGTGCCAACCATGGGCTAGGCACAGAGATGCGCACTGGGGACACAGTGATGAATAAACAAGGGAGATGCTGTCTTTGGTCTCACGGACCTCATAGGCTAAAAAGGATCTTTGTTAAAATGATGCTGCCACAAATTTCATTTTTACGACTCAAGAAATATTTATGGACTACTTATTACGTTTCATGGTTTGTGTAAAGAGGAGGGCATAAAATAGCAAGCGAAGCCAGACACAATTCCTGCTTTCACGGAGTTTACAGTCTCATGAGAAAGATATTAAATAATAATGTGTGCGCATGGTGCTATGAAATCCTACCGATAGTGCAAACTGGCTTCCTTAGATTAGGAGATTTCTGCTTGAGGAAGTGCCACTGGAGCTGAGATCTGGAGGACAAATAGAGGGTAACGGGGCAATGAGTGGGGGTGGGGGAGGGGGAAGAGGACCCTCCTGGCAACTTGAACAGCACGTGACAGGATCCTGTTGCCGAAGGAACGATGGCTAGCAGGAGGGACAGTGAAAAACGACTGGGTGTCGGAGAGCTGGGAATAAGGAGCGCCCTGGTCTCAGGGGGGCCTGGGCCAGGAGCAGCCCCGGGGGGGCTGGCGTACCTCCCCAGCCGGCCTCTAGGTTCATGGTCTTGGAACTGCAGCACCTCCATGCCGGGGACACAGAGCCCGGAGGCAGGGAGGCTCAGGGCATCAGCAGGCAGCGGGGAAACTAGATGATCCCTAGCATCTGCAGTAAAACCAATGCTACGCCTCCAGGGACAGCTTCCCCGAACTTTCCAGAGTGCCCAGACTCAGCAGTGGACCAGAATGCTGTTTTTGGGGTCCCACTGAACTGGATTTAAGTTCTTCATCTGTTACCGGTTAAGTTTCTCAGCTAGTCAGTAGGAATAAAAATATTTCCTTTTCCGAGTTCTTGTGAGAATCAAATGAGATAAAGCAATTAAAGCCTTGAGCACGGGGCCTGGCTCATGGCCGATATTCGGTAAACAAGAGCTGTGGTTCTTCATCTGTCAGACGGAGACAATGAGAGTGCTGGTTGCCTCACATGGTTATGCAGATCCCTGTTTGGATTGCGTGTGTGGGAATGTTAGGCTGGGCCTCCTTTGCGCAGTCCCAGTTCTAATTTTAAGAGCAGGAGCCTACTTTTCCTGTTCTGTCGCCCCTTAGGAAAGCGGGGCCATCGTGCTCACAAAATGCCCGATGCACCACGTGTATTCTTTTAAAAAAGCGACCTCTCACTTTTCTCACGTTTCCAGGTTTCTGGGTCCCCTCCCGTTTGGAAATCTGTCCCACACCGGGCAGGGCAGCCCCGCAGCAGAAGGCACACCCGTCACGCCCACCCCTGGGCCGGCCCTGCCGCGGTGCCAGCCAGCGCTCTGCCCCGGGAGGCTGGGTCGCGGCGGGACCGGCCAATCAGAGGAAGTTTGGCCCTCTGCAGGTTCCGTCCGCTCACTAGGGGGCGCTGCGGCGGCCGCGGCTGCTGCCAGGGCCGGCGCGGGCCGGAGCGGTGGGGCTGGCGGCCGAGGCTCGTGGCCATGGAGTGGGCTTCGGAGTCGGCGGCCGTGAGGCGGCACCGCGTCGGAGGAGAGCGCCGGGATGGCCCGGCGGCCGCGCCGCAGCCGGGGAGGGAGGCCCCGGCGCAGGAGCCCCCGGAGGACGCGTGCGGCGGCGGCGCGAGGACGCGGAAGCGGAGCGCGGGGGGCGGCGGCGCGAGCCGGGGCGCGGGGACCGGGCTGTCCGAGGCGCGCGCCGCGCTGGGGCTGGCGCTCTACCTGCTCGCGCTGCGGGCGCTCGTGCAGCTCTCGCTGCAGCAGCTCGTGCTGCGCGGGGCCACGGGCCGCCACGGGGAGTTCGACGCCCGCCAAGCCAGGTAACCGCCGCTCCCGACCCGCCCGCGCGTCCGTCTGCAGCCGGGGTCCGGGGCTGCGGCACCTGCGTGCGCCCGTCCCCCCTCCCCCCGGGATCACTCGGGCTCGCCGGCGCCGCGCCGCCGCACATGGGGCAGGCTGGCCCCGCGCATCCCTGCCCTGGAGTCCCCGTTTACGGATCGCGGAGCTTGGCTTGCCCCGCTGCGAAGCCGGGAGCACAGCTGGGGGGTGGGGGTTTGGATTGCGCTTGCCTGGCCGCCTCCGTTCTGCCCCACTTGCTCTTGGAGGGTTGGTAGTCGTCTCCCATATTCTGGAGCAACTTCCACTTTTTACTAGCCTTCCTGCTTTCGGAATGAAATGGGGAGCGACATCTGTGTACCCAGGCCGTTTTATAAATTCGGTTTGGGGGATAGTGCAGTACTCAACTTCTTGAGGGTCATAGCCCTCACACCTGTAAGCTATGGAGGCTTTTTCTGAAAGACTGCACATTCAAAATCTTACACTTTCAGAGGTTCTGAGATTCCTGGAGTTTGTCCTTGGGCCCCCGCTGTGTGAGATTGGTTGTTTCTTTTTTGTTTTGTTTTATTAAAGAAGAGAGACCTTTCAGCATGCTAGGGAAGGTCAAAGGTATCGTATCGCTAAGTGTATCAAAGCTCCTAAAGCCATAAGCTAGCAGAGTTTTCTACAGCCACTGTGTTTTAAAAAACTTTTGACTACAAAGTGCTGGAAGCTTATTTTCTTAAGGACTTTCTGGAACACTCCTCCCCCACTCCCTTTTTGCCTGCTTGGAATGCAGTGAAAACACAACACGTTTTTTGTTGTTGTTTGTTTTACGGGTAGGGTTGGCTCTGGCCTGAATTGAAGTTATTAGGCCTAGGGTGCATTGAGAGGGCTGAGTCCATTCTCAGCGATCAAAAGTTTTCCTTTCTGATTCAGCCTCTTGCCTTGATTACCTCTGCTCATTGGCTTCTGCTACTTAGAATCAGTAACCCTCCAGAGTGTGGCACAATGAAGCTGGATTCTTTCTGTCCAGCCTTCAAGCAGCTGCATGTTTAGAATAGAATCCCTGGTCTTTGTGTTGATTTGATATGGGGATAGGGAGAATTTGGGAGTGGGGTGGGTGGAGAAAACTCTGAAGGGAGGAACTCCCGGGAGGCAAAATTAAATGATGGAACCTTACAAGTGATTTTCACAGGGTACCTGAAATAATGAAAGTCAGCCCCCTCTCCTTTTTTTAAGTCAAAGAACCTGTTTGCGCAGTGGGGGTGGGAGGGCATACAGGAAAAATTTGCCCTGTGTCAATGCCAGTTCTCAGCCTAGCTCTCCTTGTCACTGTCAAACTTTCGGTTGCTTCCAGGGATTATCTTGAACACATAACATCCATTGGCCCCAGGACCACAGGAAGTCCAGAAAATGAAATCGTGACGGTCCATTACCTTTTGGAACAGATTAAACTGATTGAAGATCAGAGGAACAGCCTTCACAGGATTTCAGTAGATGTGCAGCGACCCACAGGCTCCTTCAGCATTGACTTCCTGGGGGGTTTTACAAGCTACTATGACAACATCACCAACGTCGTGGTGAAGCTGGAGCCCAGGGACGGAGCCCAGCACGCGGTCCTGGCGAACTGTCATTTTGACTCCGTGGCAAACTCGCCAGGTACGGACCTGGTCTTTAGTCCTGTCAGAGTTGCGCGTCAGTAAGCCCAGAAAGCTTACTAACTCCAAGCTGCTTGGGCAGTTGTTCAAGATAAAGATCCAGACCCTCACCATTCGCTCAAGTGCTTGCTTGCTCTATTTTTTGAATAGCCGTGCCAGTAGCCCAGGGGCAGGACATGGAATGTTTCTGGTAGGTCGCAGCTGCTTTATCAGCATTGCCAGTCCTGTGTCCCTGAGTCCCGGGGCTAGGTTCCGCCACTTGAAGTGTGTACTCAGGTAGGTGTTGTATGAGGCTCTGGGGATTTGGGTTGGAGGAACGGTTTTTGCCTTCGGGAACGCAGGGTTTGGAGGACAGCTCTCCTAGCAGAGCGTCTGCAGGCCTGTAGAGGGAGGGGTTCGGTTCACTGGGGATGCCATACTCTGAGAATATATCACTAATACATAAATCTTGCTCTGAAATACTTCAGCAAAATAGAATACCTGATGTTTAGGACGGTGCCTGACACGATAAATACTTGTAGAATGAATGAGAATTCCCTAAATTAGACTTGCATTTTTAAAAATAAGATTCACGAGGGAGATGTGTTCAGTAGCTAGATTTTAAGTAGGGACGAATAGGAAACAGCTTTTTATGGTGGAATCCTAGCATCTTAGACTAGAAGAGCTGAGATGGCATCTGTTCAACCCTATCTTTTGTCACAGGGTAAACTTAGCTGATCACCACCGATCAGAGACAGAGGTGGCACCAGATGCTGGGGCTTCTAGCCCGTCAGTTCTTTGAGCTACATTTGAAAGGAAGGAGAGTATTAGCATGTAGTTAACGTTCTTTTTGGCAAACTCTACCTAATAATCTCTTCTTTGCTCAGTTTCTGGTCTGTAAAATGGAGATAGTAGTACTCTCATGGCATGGAAAATTTTTTTTTTTTTTGCCATGTTATTTGATGGTAATATTTCTGAATTGCTTGAACTTACAGCAGGCTCATAAGAACATCTAGAGTTGTATAAAAGATAAAATTGCTTGATAAAATGATTCATACTAGGATGTCTTTAATCAGAAAGCTTGCCAATCGCATTTAGAATGTGGCATGCTTTTTCAAGTATCCGTGTACAAATATCTGTTCTATTAAGTCAGAAATACCTTTGTGTGTGCTTAGGGAAACCAGTAGTCTTTTATGCCTATTTCAATGAAGCTGTAAATTAAGTGTCTCCCTGGGCCCACTATTACAGTGCTTAAATTCTTGGATGGGACAGATTAACACCATCGTTATTTAAGAGCATTATAGAAGAAAGGTGTGTATGCAAGTATCAGAAACATAGTGCTGGATATTACAAATCGCATACATGGAGTCCAGGAAGGAAACGATGGCGATTTTGTGGGTCATTGGAACCCGTTTTTAATTAAAATTTTATAAGAATACCTAGCCAACAATTTCAGGGAAATTTCTGTCAATTATAAATTGTTCAAGTAGTTGAAAATAAGTAAATAAAAATAGCCGAAAAACACAGTATATCCTTTTAGTGGATGAACTAAGTGAAACGCGGAGATACACTTTTTTTTTTTTTTTTCTTTTCAGCAGCATATCTGGAACTTTAGGAACTGATATACCACTTTGGAGTAATGTTACCCACAGAAAGGCCTTAAATGTCTAATTGGGTTTGCTGCATGGGTCCAGGGTGTTGGTAGAGGAGAGTGAGTTATTTCAGTGGTGGTTTCAATTTCAGGGTTAATTCTGACTGGAAAACGATGTTGGCATACCACCCACCCTTAGAGATGCTGTCCTCTAACTTCCCTTTCTGAAAGGTATTTAATCTGGGGCCCCTGGGTGGCTCAGTCCGTTAAGCATCTGACTCTTGATTTCAACTCAGGTCATGATCTCAAGGTCGTGAGATCAGGCCCCATGTCAGGCTCAGCCCTGGGAGTGAACCTACTTGGGATTCTCTCTCTTCCTCTTCTCTGTCCCTCCCCACCTCTCTCTCTCCAAAAAAAAAAAGGTATTTAATCTTCTCTAGTCACGTTCTCAGATGCCAGAACCATTAAAATAAAGGAAGATAAGTAGATTAATTTTTTAATCAACCCTAGATATATTTCTTTCAGTTTTCCTTTTTCTCACTTTGAATAAACATTTTATTGTTTGCTGTTTATGTTAGAGTAACTCAGAGTCTCAAAGTTAAAAAAAAAAAAAAGTCATTTCCTTTGGTTGCCGGAAGGTGTTACTTTTTACTGATAACTGGGTAGACTTTCTGCTTGATAATAATTAGTTAATGATTACTTTGTTCACTTTGATTAAAATGCAGTTTAGTGATCACTACCAAGACAGGGATGGCTAATTAGTTTCTTCTTGAGTAGGAAGGGGGTCTGGAATGTAACAATGCCCAAGCTAGCATTTTAGCTGGTTGCAGAGCCTTTCTTAAATCTGTAAAGAGAAGGAACAATTTAACACTGGACGCACATTTTCTTGTAATCCTCATAACACACCCGTGAGATAACTGTCATTGGCCTTGCCCTCCAGACCAGGAAACTGTAGGGTAAATAACAGCTAGAATTTACTTCCAGGTCTTTCTTGCCCTGAAACCCACGCTAAATTCTTCAGCACTCCCCCTCCCGGTGCATAAGCACGGAAATGCTCTTGCCTGGGTTATTGCTGTGTCTTGTTTACCTACACTTGAAACTTTTTAGTATGTTAGATTTCAGACTGTACAAAAACAGAATTGTTTGACCTCAGTGTGCCCATCACCCAACTTCAGAGACCCGATCTTCTTTCTTTTCACCCACTCCTGCACCTCTTGGTTATGTTCAAGCAGATCTCAGCCGTACTGGTTTCTCTCTATTTCATTCGGTATCACTGAAAGATGAGTCCTTTTGGACATGCTCAAAATACCATGAATTACCTCACTAAAAAAACTTAATTATTCCTTAATATCATCCAAAGTCCAGTTAGTTCCTTTATCTTTTATAGTGCTTAAAAAAAATCAAGGTATTAAAGTCATCATTATAATCACCTTTAATAAATCTGTGAAGTTTCTGAATCAAGAAGAAGTGAAGAGGTCTGCTGAGGGCCTCTGCTTTCTCGCTTCTGGGAGCAGGGATGCTATTTAGGTCATTGGTCTCCGTCCTGTGTCTTATTAGATACGATGTCTTCTTTGTATTTGTTCATCACATAATCCCTTTCATCACATGAGCTTTAAAAAATGCGACACCACCCCAATGCCCTCCCCCCCCACCGCCAATCCCGTGAATGTGGAGGGATATGCAGCTTTATGATTGTGGCAGGAAAGGCCCAGTGGCAGCTGGAGATGATGGAGGAAGCCAGAGCACCAGACATGAGACTATTACCGCGGACGTGGCATGAGGAGAGAACGGAGCACATTGCCTTGGGGTGATGAGAATGCCACTTTTCAGTATTAATTGAGGTCCCACCTGGTTGCTGATTCAACAGATGTGAGTTGAGTGATGGCTCAGCGTTAGGCACGGTTGCACACAAGTCCACAGGTGAACCAGACCGAGGGTCCCAGCCCTCATGGAGTTGGAGTGAGGCAGGGCCGGCGGCTGCCGTTGTCAACCAATGGTGGCAGACATGCTTCTGGTCTTGCCGCCACGGTGGTGCTTTTTTTAAAAGAAGGCTCCACGCCCAACATGGAACTCAGCGTGGGGCTAGAACTCCTGACCCCGAGATCAAGACCTGAGCCGAGATCAAGACCTGAGCCGAGATCAGGAGTTGGACACTTAACCAACTGAGCCACACTGTGGTGCTTTCTTGATGAGAAAACCCCGTTCCTAGCCATGATGGTTCATCCTGTAAAAGGGTTTTTTTGGGGCGCCTGGGTGGCTCAGTTGTTAAGCACCTGCCTTCGGCTCAGGTCATGGTCCCAGGGTCCTGGGATCGAGTCCCGCATCGGGCTCCCTGCTTGGCGGGAAGCCTGCTTCTCCCTCTCCCACTCCCCCTGCTTGTGTTCCCTCTCTCACTGTCTCTCTCTGTCAAATAAATAAAATCTTAAAAACGTGTTTTTTTTGTTTTTTTTTGTTTTAATTTCAAAGATTTTATTTACTTACTTAGAGAGAGAGAGAGAGTGCCAGCAGCGGGGAGGAGCAGACTCCTCGCTGAGTGTGGAGCCCACCGTGGGCCTCGATCTCAGGACCCTGGGATCATGACTTGAGCTGAAGGCAGATGCTTAACCGACCGAGGCCCCCAGGCCCGCCCCTTCATCCTGTAAAAGTTTTAAAATCTGAGGAGCAATCTCTTTCTGATTTAAAGGTGCCAGTGATGATGCAGTTAGCTGTTCAGTGATGCTGGAAGTCCTTCGCGTCTTGTCAGCATCTTCAGACACCTTACATCATGCTGTCATATTTCTCTTTAATGGTGCTGAGGAAAATGTCCTACAGGTGAGATTTTATTCTCTGAAATACTATTATTTGAGTAATAATAACGAGAATAGTAGTAATAGCTAACACTCATTTCGATTATTCATTTGTGTAGTATCCTACGACAATAATAATTGTACCCGGCAATACTTCAGAAAGCCCACAGCCACTGTGGACCCACGTGCAGTATTTGAGAACTCACAACAGATCATCTTGTCAGTGTTTGATTCATAAAAGGGCTTTGTGAGGGCATGATTAACCACCTCGGGTTTTCTGGGACACTGGAGTTTCAGAGATGTTTTGAGGCAGGCGCGCAGCATGAATACCCAAGCACGAGGCTTGTCCTTTCTCCTCTGTTCGCTGGCCCAGCCTCGCACTTACTGAGGGTGTTGTTCGGCACCACTCGTGGAGGTCAGCCTGCCTTCTGTGACGGTGGCTTTCCACTCGGTGGACTGCACGCAGCCATTACGTGTGGAGAAACGGATACGTGTCTTGAGATACTGCCTTTGAAAAAAATGAGAGTTTTCCCATTCTTCCCCTTATCAACATAGACTCTCTGTCTTTAAAATAAGCAAAATAAAGACTTTGAAAATTTAAGGTTGTTTAACGTCTATTTGTTTCATTTCCCTCTTACTCAGGCCAGTCATGGTTTCATAACTCAGCACCCCTGGGCCAGCTTGATTCGTGCATTTATTAACCTGGAGGCAGCAGGCGTGGGAGGGAAAGAGCTCGTGTTCCAAACAGGTATGTGAAGCTATATTTTACATTTTAATGCAGTTGCATCGTATACTTGAAAGCGATTCTTATTTTTATAAAAACGGAAGCGTTTTGGACTTAAGTAATCTCTCCAATGAAATGAACGTTCTTTGTAAAGCATGGGATAGTTTTACTTTGTCGTTGTTGGCGTTTTTAACAAGATGATATTAACAGCACCTAACGTTTGCGTAGCGCTTATTATGCGCTAAGTGTCGTTCAAAGCATCGTATGTGTATTAAGTCGCTTAGTCCTCAGAGCAGCCTGAGGGCTGAGTACTGTCACAACCATCATTTTGCACATGAGAAAACCTAGCCAGGAGAGTACAGTGTCCGTGAGGTTTCCCAGTTGGTAAAAGGCAGAGTGGGGTGGAAGCTGGGCGGGCCAGGTTCGCAGCCCTCGTTCGTAACTGCAAACCAGATTGTCACGTAGGTGTGGACTTTGTTTATCCATTATGGGTAATCATTATGTAAATAATATTAAATGACAACCATTTCATGAATTAAAATGAGAAAATATGCCTCTGGTTAAAGGGCTTTAAATTGATCATTGAGTTAATTTGAATGATCACAGAATTCAGTAATACTTCATCAGCCAGGGAAATATTTTTAATTTTATGAGTAAGCCTTCCTAAGAATAACAAGATGATGGGGCATAAGGATAGCATCCATTAAGTTAGTGAGGATCATTTGTCATGTTTCTTAACAGAATTCAAAGTTCCGTGCTTCCTAAGCTCTGACGTGGAAAGTCGCACACCGTTTTCCCCAGGGTATTAGAAATTTGGATAGTGCCTTTTTGCCAGACACACAGCATTGGGTAGAAGTTCTGTAATGGGGGACCTGAGATGGGCCAGGAGAAGTGAGTAAGCTGATAGGGGAACTTTTTAGTGCCCTTTACAGACTCGGTATTGGTGAAGATGTGCTAAGCATGCCTTTATATATAACCTAAACAGTACCGTATTTTAATATTCTCCATCCAACTTATTTTAGACGCTTACCCTTCAAAAATGGATGTATGTTTTATGTCAGCTGACCTCTGAGAATCTCAAGGTCATGACATGGGAGGGAGGTGCTGCTTTCCTTCTCACTCTCCAACCTTTCTGTTTGCTCTGATGCCCTCACCTAACTCGCTGGAAGCTGGTGCTGACATCTGTGGGGCTCAGGAGAGGCTGCACTGTGCTCTGTGCTCCTCCTGTTCTGGGGTTCAGTCAGGATAGGGGGGTTACGTGATGGAACAACCTCCAGATCAAAAAGCAGCAAGAGGAAATTCTGTAAGCAAAGCTGACGTCTGTCCTCCAGTGAAAATGTCAGGGCTCCGCTCGGGCAGGAGTGTCTGTGGGTCTTCCCTCCTGGGAGCGTACTCCGTGTGAAGTGCTCGGTCGTTCGCACTGCGCTCCCGGACTCCTAGGACCCAGATCAAAACCAGACCTGAGGTGGAGTCTGTACCTCTCCTGAATTTATTCTGTGCATCTGTATGCACACACACATATTCTGTGCATATGTAGTAATATATTTTACACATACATAGTCCAGAGAAGTTAAAACACATGTCCCTAGGGCTGGTTAGATCTAGATCCAAGTTAATTTCATTTACAGTTATCGAGTACCCCCTTCTGCTAGGTGTGAGTAGCCTACAGCACATGCTCTTTTTACTAAATGTAGATAGTTTTCCATAAACATTGTACACTTGCACACATTTTAGATGTAATTGTTTTATCTGGAAAGATTTAAACAAACTACAGTAACGGTTACTGCTGGCTGGTGAGTGTCAGCGGGTGGAGTGGGGGTGGGTGTTCCTGGGGTGGAGGATGGGGCTACATGTGAAAAGCCAGTTTGAGCTCTCCATCGCTTCATGAATTTAAAACCAGAATTGTCATTACTGCTTTACTTACACTCTTTATGGTTTTCTGTATTGTTTACATTTTTACATTGCATTTGATGACTTTAATAATAAAAGCAAAGAATAGACTTGTTACTAATTAGCAATATACAGTTGGTCCTTGGACAACGCAGGGGTCAGGGGCACTGATCCCCTGAATGGTTGAAAACCTGTGTGTAACTCTTGACTCCCTAAAAACCTAACTACTGGTCTGCCATACACCGGAAGCCTGACTGGTAACGAGCAGTCATCAACACACATCTTATATCTTGTGTGTATTGTATATTGTAATCTTATAATAGAGTGAGCTAGAGAAAAGAAAATATTGGGCACCTGGGTGGCTCAGTTGGTTAAGCGACTGCCTTCAGCTCAGGTCATGATCCCAGAGTCCCGGGATCGAGTCCCGCATCGGGCTCCCTGCTCAGCGAGGAGCCTGCTTCTCCCTCTAACCCTCCCCCCTCTCATGTGCTCTCTCTCTCTCATTCTGTCTTAAAATAAATAAATCTTTAAAAAAAATATTATTAGGAAAATCATAAGAGAAAATACACTTCCAGTATTACACATATTTATTGAAAAAAATCCACAAGTGGACCAGCACAGTTCAAACCCATGTTGTTCAAGGGTTAACTGTATATACAATTTAAACGTTTCACTCATTTGAAAATAAAATCCTCACACTTCAGAATTAATTTTTTTCTGGAGGGGCATCCTACAGAAGATTTGGAGGGAATGTTTCCCCCCCTTTCCGAGTTTTTACGCTATGTTTTCCCTGTAGGTTTTGGTAGCTTATTCTTGTGGCTGAACCGCATACGGGACAGCCTCCCGGGCACGTTCTGACATTCCAGCACCTTTCTCCGGCTCTCCCTTCCCTGCGCCACTGCCCGCTAAAGCCTGGCATCCTTGCGGGGATGACTTTCCGAGAGCAAGTCAGCATGGCTTCCACGTGTGACTGAGGAGATAAAGCCTCCAGGGTGTGGAGTCCTGCTGGGTTGCCCCGTCCTCAGCTTTGTAAACAGGCACTTGTCCTGTCCTGGAAATGTCTTGGTTAAAACAGTTTGTACTCGCTAGTGTGCCATTGTCCCTTCAGAGAGAGACATTCACTCGAGTTTTTAGTGCCTGGAATAATCATTACCACCTAGTTCTGAAAAGGGCCAGGGTCCATGAAAGAATGACTTACTTTATCAGACTAATGATTTATGTCATGACCCAGTAAGGCTGTTTGAATCATTTGAAGGTGTTATAAAATCCGTTATTTTAAAATCTAATCAGATTAAACCAGTAATAAATGTCTCCTGTGAAAAATTCAGATACTACCAACCTCGAGTAGAAGCCCAAAAGCAAAGGGGTCATGGCATCCTTTTTTTCTCTTGTGAAGAATACCGTGCCCTATGTCCTGCCCCAGAGCAAACCAGTGTGATGGTTTAGTCCCTACTCTTCTCGAATTTTTTTCTGTACACACACAGAGATAGAGTAAGTTAATATAGATCACAAAAATGCAGTCCTACTCTATTGACTGTTTTATAACCTGCTTGAGATCACATTCATTTAAAACAGAATAGAGCTTTATTGAGGTGTAAGCCACATACCTTGTAATTCACCCATTTAAAGTAAAACTCAGTGGTTTTGAGATCTCTTCACAGAGTTGAGCGGCCATCACTGCAGTCAATTCTAGAATCTTCTCATCACCCCAAAGAGAAGCTGCACACTCACTAGTCTGGCCTTTTCCATACATAGCATGTTTTCTAAGGTTTATCCATGTAACACGTGTGAGTACTTCCTTCTCTTTATGACTGAATTATGTTCCGTTGTATGGATAGACTGCGTTTTGTTGATCCATTCGTCAGTCGATGGACTTTTGGATTGATTCCACTTTCAGGCTCTCAGGAATAATGCTGCTGTGAGTATTCGTGTGCAAGTGTGTTTTCCTTTCTTTTGGGTGGTTACCTAGGTCATACGGTAAATTTATGTTTAACTTTTTAAGAAACTGCCAAACTAAGTAGTCAAGCTTAATTTCAGAAGCAGTATAAGTTCAGATAACAGTAAATTTTTAAACTTTTATTTATTTTTTCAATGAATTTTTTAAGCTTTAGATTTGCAGAAAGTCAGCAGGATGGTAATGCCCGGTGCTGGTGGAGTAGACCGTGTCATACGGTGTTGGGGGAAGTGTAGATTGAGGCTTTTGGGGGGGCAGTTTGGCAACAGGTACCACTTTAAAAAACGTGCAGACCCTCCTGTCCAGCAAGGCCACTTGTAGGACTTTATCCCATAGAAATAGCTGCCCATGGACACATCGATCCAGGTACTGTATAGTCGTCTCAGCTTTTTTATAAGGACTGAAAAACTGAGAACGCCTTCCAGGTCCATGCACAGGAGACGGGTTATATTCAGGGAGACCTAGACATTTTTCCCCTCTTCCGACCACTGCTCATTTCTCTGTTCCCAGCGATTGCAACATTCTTCAGGAGTGGAATTCCTTGTCTTACTTGGCTCTCGTAGCGCCCAGCACAGGCTCCAGCCAGACGCCCCAAGGTCAGGTCCCAGATCACACACCCTCGGCAAGCAACCTTGAACCAGCCCCACAACTGTTCGTGCTTTAGTTCCTCATCTGTAACATTGCATAGTGTTAGTACCCACCCCTTAAGATTAGTAAGCACTGAGTAAAACCCTCAGTTCTGTAATTTCTCATCGAAGGCCTCCCTTTGCCTTATTTGTATTATGGGGCATAGCTCACTCAGGAGCTGACTAACTTGCCCATCCCAGTCTCCCCAGACTTCCTTTTTGTACCAGAACTTGACCTGTAGACCTCAGTGGGCGATTAGTGAGAGGCTGGAGCCAGGCTGGAGTGCTGACACGCAGTAGTTGGATCTCCAGGGGCTTAAAGGCCAGTTAGCGGACATTTAAACCTGGACATTTCTTTCCTGCTGATGGGTCTTACCTTTTTCACAAGTATTAACATTTTAAGTGTCTTTATTTTGTCTTTTATTGTAAAAGAAAAGCACACAGCTCTGCCTCTTCAGCCTAATGAATTTTTATAAACAATATAATGTAACCAGAACTCAGACCAAAATTGAGACTACTGCCCGCACTCCAGGATCCTCCGCTGTGACCTTTCCCAGCCTTCCTCCCGAAAACGGTTACTGCTCTCCGGACTTATGTCCTGACATTTAATTTTGCTTGTATTTAAACTTTCTATAACTTGACTCCCACACTATGTTTTCTTTTGTGTATGGCTTCTTTTTTACTCAACGTCATGTCTGTAAGATTCATCTGTCTTGTGTTTAGCAGGACTTCATTCTTTTTTATTGCTGAATACTATTCCATTGACAAGAATAGCTATTCTACTGGTGATGTTAGATTGTTTGTAGGTTTTGGCTCTTATGAGGGGTGCTGTTATGAACATTTGTTTTCTTTTCTGTGTCACATATAAGTGAGATCATATGGTATTTCCTTTTCTCTGTATGACTTATTTAGCATAATGCCCTCAAGGTCTATCCATGCTGTTGCAAATGGCAAGATTTCCTTCTTTTTTAATGGCTGAATGATATTCCATTGTGTATATATGTACCACATTTTCTTTATCCATTCATCTGTCGACGGACACTTAGGTTGTTTCCATATCCTGGCTATTGTGGGTAATGCTGCAGTGTGCGTGGGGCCACGGTGTGCATGGGGGTTTGTGGGTGTGCGTGGGGCCGCATACTGTTTTCCACAGTGGCTTCTCCAGTTTACGTTCCCACCAGCAGTGCACAGGGGTTCCCTTTTCCCCACATCTTCACTGACACTTTGTTTCTTGTCTTTTTGGTAAAAGCTGTTCTAATGGGTGTGTGATGATACCTCATTGTGGTTTTGATTTGCATTCCCCTGGTGATGAGTGATGCTGAGCACCTTTTTGTGTACCCAGTGGCTGTTTGAATGTCTTATTTGGAAATATGTCTATTCAAATCTTCTATCCATTTTTTTTAAATTTGATTTTTTTTTTTTTTTTGCTATTGACTTGTATGAGTTCTTTATATATTTTGGATATCAACCTTTTATCATATACATGATGTGCAAATATTTTCTCCTATTCTGCCGGTTGCCTTTTAATTTTCTTGGTGGTTTCCTTTGCTGTGAAGAAGCTTTTTAGCTTGATGTATTCCCACTTAACTTGTTTTAACTTTTGTTGCCTTTGCTTTTGGTGTGAGGTCCAAAAAATCATTGTCAAGACTGATGTCAAGGAGCTTATTACTACCCACATTTTCTTCTAGGAGTTTTATAGTTTCAGATTTTATGTTTTCAGATCTTTAATCCATTTTGAGTTAATTTGTGTGATGTAAGAGAGTGGGCCAGTTTCATTCTTGTGCATGTGACTGTACAGTGTTCCCAACACCATTTATTGAAGAGATTGTCCTTTCCCACTGTATATTCTTGGCTTCACATAAATTAATTGAACATGTATGTGTGGGTTTATTTCTGAGCTCTCTATTCTGTTCCATTGATGTGTGTCTGTTTTTATGCCAGTACCGTACTATTTTGATTACAACAGCTTTGTGATATAGCCTGAAATCAGGAAATGTTGTGCCCCCCAGCTTTGTTCTTCTTTCTCAAGTTTCCTTTGGCTATTCGTGATCTTTTGTGCTTCCATACAGATTTTAGAATTGTTTGTTCCATTTCATGAAAAATGCCATTGGAATTTTGATAGGGATTGCATTGAATCTGTATATTGTTCTGGGTAGTATGTACGTTTTAACAATATTGGTTCTTCTAGTCCATGAACATGGAATATCTTTCCATGTATTTGTGTCTTCACTTTGTCTCATCAGTGTCTTGCAGTTTTCCAAGTAACAGGTCTTTGACGTCGTTGGTTGTTCCTAGATATTTTTTTTTGGTGCAATTGTAAATGGGATTGTTTTCTTAATTTTTCATTATTAATGTATAGAAACGTAACTGATTTTTTTTATTAAAGATTTTATTTATTTATTTGACAGAGAGAGACACAGCGAGAGAGGGAACACAAGCAGGGGGAGTAGAAGAGGGAGAAGCAGGCCTCCCGCTGAGCAGGGAGCCCGATGCGGGGCTCGATCCCAGGACCCTCGGATCATGACCTGAGCCGAAGGCAGAAGCTTAACAACTGAGCCACCCAGGCACCCCTGTAACTGATTTTTGTATGTGGATTTTATATCCTGCAACTTTATGAATGGTTAGATGAAGATGGTTTAATATTTGAAAATCAATCTATGTATTTTACCACATTACCATAATAAAGGAGAAAAACCATCTCAATTGATAATCTCAACATAATCATCTAAGTAGATAAAAAAGGATATGTTCCTTCATAACAGTACATATATGGTGCTGTTATATGTAATATATAATATTAATATGATTTTAATATAAAACTATTATCTGATGTTTTTGATTTTCCAATTGTTCCAATAATGACATAGCTGTTTGTGTTTTTAATCAGAGTTCCAATCCGGGAACAAAGAGCTCTTGATTGTCATGTTTTATTAGACCCATCACAGTGATTATATAACACACACATAAAAAGTGTAAGAGTGAAAAACTTAATCATGGTAAGGTGAATACGTCTGTATCCCTGCGGATGGAAGGAGCTAGACGTAGGTCCCACCTCCCGTGGGCTCTCCCTGCCCCTTCTCAGATACAGCTCCCTCCCTCCCCAGAGGGCCCGTTATCATCCTGCTGTTTATGATGCTCTCCTTTCTAGTTTAGCTTTACCCGTTTTTCAGTATGGTTTTCATAATATTTTAATAGGATAATTTTGGTTATTAACATCTAGCTGTCATAGTATTTTAATACTAGCGTCTTGACATAATTCGGCTTGATAATCACCATTCTTTCACAGTCTCTGTTCTCAGTGCGCATGTCGGGAGTCTCGGCCTGTATCTGAGCACCAGTGGTGATGGTAGCTTCTGGTCATTTGATGATGGTATTTGCCAGGTTTTTCTGCTTTGTGAAGTTACTGTTTTCCCTTTGTAATAGGTACTCTGTCACTGAGTACACACTCCGTTTCTCATGAGACTTTGATCCTGGTTTTGGCAGACATGGATGATTCTGGATGCAAAGCATTTTTACTGTGACGTTAGTTAGCCCAGTGTTGAGTGTTCTGGCTCCATCATTCCGTCCATAGCTAATAGCTGGAATTCTGCTCAAAGGAAAGCGTTCTGTTCTCCCTTGTTTGTGTATTTCTTTCCACGTGTCATGTGTTTTCTATGCTGTGTTGCTGCCATCTTGATGCGGGAGTTGTCAGCAGTTAGGCCAGTGGTAGCCCCTTCACCTGGTGCTTGCATCCTGTGGATGTGTTTCTCCTCTCCCGGCACGAGGCATTCCAAGCACGCTTGTACTGCCCCCGCCCGGGGTCTGGGATCAGCCATTCCCTAAGGAGACCTGGTCCTCCTAGTGGATGATGCGATTCCGAAGCAAGTTCTTAGTGCTAGGTATGTTTTCTCCTTTGTATTTATCCTCTTTGGGATTTGTAGAGCTTTTTGAATTCATAGCTTGATGTTTTCTATGACTTTTGGAAACTTATTGGCCGTTCTTTCTTCAAAACATTGCTTCTGCTCCATTCCGTGTCCTTTCTCTGGGGCTACTGAGCCCTATACGTCTCTGACACGCGTTTCTGTATTTGACATCCCTTTTTCTTTTTGTGCTCCAATCCAGTTGCTCTATAATCCTTTCTTCTGCTGTGTTAAACCTTGGAGTAAACCATCCATTAAAGTTCTTACCCTCAGTTTTAAAGGGTTTCCATTGGACTCCCTGGTAAAATTCTGTGTTCTTAAAATCCGTGTCTGGTGACTCTCGTCTCTGGGTCACCGGGGTGTTTGGTTCTGTGGCGTCTCTCCCTCCCTTCTCCATCTTTTATGGTCATCGTTTCAGTAGGAAAGCAATTTGATTATTTGTTTATAAAGTTATGAACATGTTAATATTCTTAGATTCCCTGAAATACAGTGACACGATCTGCCCACATCAGTCAGCATTTGGTGAAATTTTGTTGTAAGAAACAATCTCCGAATCTCAGTGGATTACACAGCAAAGGCTTATTTCTCACTCATGACATTTATGTTCCTGACTTGCCGCAGTTCTGTTCCATGGTGGTTTTGTTCTTTGTGTGTCATTCGTTCTGGGACCCAGGCTGAAGGAGAAGCCGCCAGTCAGAGATGGGGCGACGTTACGGCCAGAGTTAGCCGGAGGGAGGGACCGGGTGATGGACCCCGAACATCTCTCCCGTTCACAGTCTGTCCGCCGAAGCAGTTCCCAGGGCCACACCTGCAGTGAATGGGATGAGGCAGTGGACGTGCTGCATCCACAGGGGTGCACAACAAGTGATAACCGGGGACAGTTACACAGTTTATCTCGCTGTCCCAAAGAGAAATCTCCCGCATTTGACAGAGCCATAGATGCATAAAGATGTTAGTGCAAAATTATTAATAATAAAAATATATAAACAATAATATAGAACTTCTGGTATTTTCGGTGAAAAGTTTTACAGTTATTAAAATGATTATTGTAGCATCTGGGACTTAGGAGGATGTGTTTAATATGTTAAAGCACGACGTAGAGTCTGTATGCCCCGTGGGTCCAGCTGTGTACAAACAACCGTGTGTTTACAGGACAGTTGAAGATGTAAGGGTGAAAATAGTTGTCGTAGGATGATGGACTTTTGGGTAGTTCTTCATCTTTAATCTTAAACTTTTTATAGTGCTGTTATTTTGTAATTAAAAATAATGTTTTCTGTGATTTCTCATTCTTCAAGTTAATACACACTTATCAGAGAAATGTTAGAAAGGACTTTGGGCCTGCGTCCCCAGACCACCTGGCTCCCCAGACCACCGCGGTGGCTGTTCCATGTGTGTTAAGAACAGTGCCACGTTACCTTGTACTGTGTGCCCGTGTTCCTTCTAGGTCCTGAAAACCCGTGGCTGGTCCAAGCGTATGTTTCCGCCGCTAAGCACCCGTTCGCTTCCGTGGTGGCTCAGGAGGTTTTTCAGAGTGGAATCATTCCTTCAGATACCGACTTCCGCATCTACAGGGATTTTGGGAACATTCCAGGTATTTTGTGGATTATTGTGGGCCGTGGTGCGATAGCAATTAAGCAGAAGCAAGTTCTTGTTGGCAAGATTGTGAGCAAACAGCGTATCCGGAGAGCACGCTCTGTGCCTGAGAGCTGTGTATTCTGAGTCACTGAAACTGATTGCCAGATGTTTTCCTTTTCTTTTAAACTCTGGGCTAATTCAAACGCTTGCCTTTGCTAGAACATGTCGTCTTGCCCCACACGGTGGCAGCACGGGGGACAGCTGGTTAGCATTTCATTACCACCCCCCCCACCGAAGGTGGCCGTAGATCCTGGAGAGGTCTCTGGCTTTGTTGTGGTCTTGCTTTGCTGGTTGCTGGGCGGTTTGTACGGCTGACGAAGTTAGAGTTTGGCTCTGGCCCGGCAAGCATGTAGACGGCAAAGTTCCCACGGCCTCCTAAGGCCTGTACGCCTGCCCCTTGCTGTGTGACTTGTGAGGTCTCCCTGATGTGTGGACTTCCTCAGTCATTCTGTGCCACGGCTCTGAATTCTCTTAGACATTCATAAACGTGACTAAGCAATCACGCCACTGCTTTGACATTTTGTCTCTTAGAAATTTAATGTTAGACAAATAGGCTTAAGGAAAGGTGGTTCTTCAGAGCAAAATGACGTTTTGTTTTTTTGTGTCTCTAGGAATTGACTTAGCTTTTATTGAGAATGGATACATTTATCACACCAAGTATGACACAGCGGACAGAATTCTAACAGATTCCATTCAGAGAGCAGGTTGGTATTCAAATGTAGACTCTTGTTCTATGTTAAGATGGAGTATCAGGGCTGACCTACAGACCTGTAACTACCCTGTGGACGGTGCATTAGGGACGCGGTGTGTGGTGTGCGCGAGCTGGGTGGGGCTTTGGAGTGAGAGAGATGAGGGGCTCGAATTTTAGCCTTGAAGTCTAGGTTAGCCATCAGGAATGTAAGACTCTTCATTGTGAGGCACTGGAAAGAGAGAGCAGGCCCAGGATGCACGCGAGGGTGGTTGAGCGATGAGCGTGTACCAGAATGGAAGCCAGACGTTGGAGGGGGCGCCGGCGCGTGTTAGGACAGCTTGCCTGCGTATAGAAAGTCACATCAGTCCAAGTTGGGTGGTGAGGGCAGGTGGGGGCGTTACAGAACAGGGGTCAGGACAATACAGGGGCCAGAGGGTTAATGTGCTTTCCAGAGAAATCTGGAGTAGTCAGGGGAGGGGAGTCTGATGGGGAACCTTAATGAAAGAGTTGATAGGATTTGGCGCGTGCAGAAGAGAAGGATGCTCCAGGCAAGAGCAGAGCATGCGTAGGGGGTGTGTGTGTGTGTGTGGATTGTTGGTGAGTAGTGTCACACTACAGTCTGGGTGGAACTTGTACAAGAGCTGACCAGTTGGAAGGAAGGGATGAACCAGGCGGCCGGCGGCAGGGACAGCTGTGAAGTCTGAGGCCCAGCTGGCTGGGGAAAGACGGTGCCATTGACCCTGATGGGGACGTGGGAAGGTGACCTCACCCAGGGCAGTCGTGGAGAGGGGAAGGAGGCTGTCAGCTCCGTCACACATCGACGGAGGGGTCGGTGAACCGGCCGGATGGAAGTTCCCACATGGTGTTAGAGCTCTTGGCAGAACTGGGAATACAGGTTTGGGAATCAAAGGCATCGAGAAAACCACAGAAGCATGTGGGGTGGGAATGGGCTTGGGAAGAGTGAAGCAAAGGTAGAGGACTCAACCTGAGCTTTTGGGGAAAACACATTTGCAGGCACATGGAGAAGCCAGTGACCGAAACGGCACGATAAGACAGTGTGGCGTCTCAGGGGAAGCAGAGAAGGTCAGCGCTGGGACGAGCGAGGGAGAACCGCCCCAGTCACTCGCGGCTGCTTCCCGCTCCTGCGGAGAGTTCCGTGGGCTCTGGTGTGCCCGGCTCCGGCCGCCAGGGACTCTCGTGCTCCCCAGCGCCGCGGCTGAGGACTCCGGGGTCAGACTCGGGTTGTATGTGGAAAGTCCCCTCCGAGCTTTCGCCTCGTGGCTCCGGCGGTGCGGGCTGCCTGCCCTTCGTGCTCACTGCCCTTCCTCGGCCCTGAGCAGCAAGCACACAAGTGCTTTTCTAGGAGCATCTAGATAGAAATGCCTCTCTAACTTCTCAGACTCCATCGGCTGCCCATGATGTGGTCCCGGGGGCCTCTCCTACCTGTCTGTATTCATGTTTTAAATGAAATATAATTGACATTCCTCATTCTGAACACACGCGTAACTGCGTGTTTGGTGTCTGTGAGCTTCCTGAGGGGCTTGTGTCTCTTGGCTCAGCACTGAAATTCTGGTATCTAGAGCAGTATTTAAGGTATATGTTAAATGAACAGACTAAGAAACAGTCTTTGGGTTTGTCAACAGTGAGGAAAGAGTGGGTCAGAGAACAGTTCTCGTGGAAGGGAGAGGATGAAGGCCAGCTGGCTGAGCGTCTCCGTGGAGACGAGACAGAGTGGGTGCATGGGCCGCTTTGAGACGTTTTGTGAGAACGCTGGGGGGACGGGGGGAGAAAGCGCTCCCTGCCTGCATTCTGTCAGTTAGGTCCTTACTCAGACCACGTGGTTTATTCACCTTCGTTCTCTTTCTCTTCTTTACTAATAGGTGACAACATTTTAGCGGTTCTTAAATATCTAGCTACGTCTGATATGTTGCCTTCTTCTTCTAAGTATCGACATGGAAACATGGTCTTCTTTGACGTGCTGGGCCTGTTTGTCATTGCCTACCCCTCCCGCGTCGGCTCGATAATCAACTCCGTGGTGGTAATGGCCGGCGTGTTGTATCTGGGCAAAAAGTTGTTGCAGCCCAAACACAAGAGTAAGTATTTTCCTCTAAGACCACAGTGCTGGCCTGGGTATAAGAATTTGCCTGAGGTTTTTCTAGTCTGTTTGCCTCTTGTCAAGAAGTCCAAAATCTTAAAGAAACCAAACGTCTGATTTATATGGTAAGACATGCCTAAGATCATCAGATGAATGTGCTCATTCCACTTCTGGTCTTGGGGAAGTGGGCCTCTTTGTGCTTATGCCACAGAGGCGGCACATTGGAGCTCCTGAGAAATGGTTTGTACAGATGACTGTTAGTGGACGTGCCCATGAAAGAGTCTGGGCCGCACTACAGACCAGTGGTCAGGGCTCTGTCCTGACGTCTGACCCAGTTGGTTTCCTTCTGCTCGGAACGTTTCGTAGTCCCGGCTGGTATGTGTGGTTACCAGCCTGAACGTGCAGGGCCAGACCACCCCGGTTACCTGGCCGCACTCCTCCTCCTCCTGCATCAGCTTCCCGGCGGGATGCCGGGTGGAACATGGCCTTCAGTTCTTGCCGGTATTTTGATCCACCGAACGTCCCAAAGGTGCTGAAGATTAAAGCCAAACTGCAGGACTTACGTCTCCGAGTCTTTAGTGCCCATGCGCTCTCAGCAACTGTTACTTGAATAGTTTTTGTTGCTCGGGTTTTTGACAGACCTGACCCCTGGGACATTTCAGGACTTTTCAGTGACAATGGTGAATTTTTTGTTTTGCCGTTTGCCCCTTTACCTCCACCGACTGGCCATGAGGTTGATTGGGTAAAGTTGGTGACGTCTGCTTTGTGCTTTGTCTGCATTAGCCGGTAACTACACGAAGGACTTCTTCTGCGCGCTTGGCATCACTCTGATAAGCTGGTTCACGAGCCTGGTCACTGTGCTCATCCTGGCGGTGTTCGTCTCCCTGGCTGGACGGTCCCTGTCATGGTACAACCACTTCTACGTCTCCGTCTGTCTGTATGGAACTGCGGCTGTGGCCAAAATAGTACTCATACATACCCTTGCAAAAAAACTGTATTACGTGGTAAGTGTGAGGCATGTTTATCGATTTCTTTTTGCTGCCTTCAAGGATCGAAGACAGACTCAAGTGGGATCCGTTGTGTGTGGCTTTCCAAGCTAGCAAACACGGTTTGGCAAGATTGTAGGAAACTGGCTCCCAGAACCATCTTCGGAGGGTTTTGGGGGGGGTTCCGGTGCCGCTGTAAAGCTGCCAGTGTTTGGGGGGTTGTCTCCGCCTCTGCCGAATCTGCTGCACTCCGTCCCCCCAGGGGGCAGGGCCAGGGCGCCCACTGTCCCCCGCGCTCTGTCCCCCGTGCTCGGTCAAGCTCGGGCGTGGGGCACGGACACACGGGAGGCGTTTGCTGCCCTTTGAGCCACACCTAGACTTTTCTCTCCAGTCCCCTCCCCTTTCTTTAGCCCATGTGTTGTTGATGCAGACGCTGACGGCATCAGCTGTGGCTTGGGGGTGGAAGCACGGGGCGGGGGCGGGGAGGGGAGAGAGGGTTCCAGAATGATTGGTGCTGACTTAGGGTTTCCATTGTATACGTTCGTTTGGTAAACAGAAAAGTAGAAATTAGGGTTACAGAGTAACAGGACTCAAGGCAAACTACAGTGAGAGTGACCCGTGGCTTCCAAAGATGTTCTGTGAGTTAAAGGGAAACTCTTTCTTAGTTCTGTTACTTATTTTCAAGACTGCCAACGCACCTGTGTTTTGTTTGCCCTGCTAGGGGTTAGCATGGACACACAGGAGATGGTGATCCAGATCTTTCCATGGGGATCTCTGGTGCCTGAACCTTGGTCTCCGTTTCAGTTCATGTCCGGATGTGCTCTGTGGAGTACTTCCTTGTTAACAGGCCTAGTGAAGGGAGGTTTTTGAAGTCAGCCATCTGTTTATGGATGAGCTAATACTTGTATCTTAGTGGCTTCAGCTTCTAAAAAGAGGATGCCGTGGGGCTCAAGTTCACATGCTTATTCGTAGCGCAGCGGTGTGTGAGAGCGTAGGGGGTGGTGAGTGTGGCAGGGGGCAGGAGACAGAAATGCCCATTAGTAAATTTCCAGTTACTTTGACTAACTTTAGTTTTCTGATCATAAAATTTGGGGCTGGACGCACCACAGGAAGGATAGTGTGTTTCATTTCACAAATACTCAAGAGTGCCGGGTGGGCCAGGCACCGTGCGAAGGCCGGTGGTACGGAGGTGCGTCAGGGCATGGTCTCTTTCTCTGAGGGGCTCACAGCTTCATCTGGGCCTGCGGCACTTGGGGGTGAGTGGGAAGAGTGGCGTGCCCAGCGCTGCCGGACTGTGGGGTGTGGAGGCCGGGAGAGCTTTGTGAAGGAAGCGGGGACTGGACCTGGGTCTGTGAAGCGTTGGGGGCCAGAGCGGCAGGCAGACAGCAGGTGGGTGGGTGGTCAGAGGTGGGAGAGCGCAAGATGCCGCTGGGTCACAGCCGGGAAGAAGGTCCGTGTGGTGAAGACAAGGTTGCTAACCGGACAAGTTGCCCAGCAGGAGGCTGCAGGAGGACTCTGAGAAGCAGGGAGGCTGCCGTTAACCTGTCCCGAGCAGGATGGGGACTCGGGGGGCGGTGTGGGGAATGGCCGTGCGCAGGCCTGGCAGGAGGTGGGGGGAGGGGAACCGGGTTCCAGGGGCATCTGGGCGACCTTGGCCACAGTTTGGGGGTTTAAGGTATGGTCGGCGCCGCTGAGACCTGTGTCTTTAAACATCTGAGTGGGACTTGGCTTCAAACAGAGTCCTAAGAATTATTTTCTTTTCCATTATTTTTAAAGACCGCGCATCCTCACACTGTGGTGAGCATCGAGAGGTGTCACAGCGCTGGCCCTTCATGTCTGAGGGGGTTTGTCCGAGGAGCCTGGACAGGTTTTGGAAACACGCGACTGAAAGTGTTTTGAGCTCCTGAAGTACCACCCAGGGCCTGGGCTGTTCCGGTGTGGGGTCCCTGCACTGAAATGACAACTTCCATGTTTGCGTGAACAGAGCCCCTATGCGGAGGTGTTGGGACGGATTAAGTTCTTAGGCAGCGCTCCTCTGAAGGACTCCAGGGGCTGTGCCAGAGTCTGCAGACCTCAAAGTCCAAAAGTAGGGATCAGATTTATGAATGCGCAAGCCGCAGGAATCCAGGGCGGGAGCAGGGCTGCACCGTAGGGCCGGGGAGAGGTGGAGAGGCGGAGAGGCCTCGGGAATCCAGCCAGACGCTGTGGCCGGGGCTCCAGAGGGGCTGCAGGTGGCTTTGCAGCACTCGAGCTGCTCTGAGCAGGTCCTTTCCCTCCTTGGCTTGAAGTTCTTTGGAAGTTGCGTAAATAGAAAAGCTTACAGGGGTGAATGTTTTTAGGAGATTTGAGAAAATTTCCAAAGGTTACTATGAGCCTGGCAGACGGGGAGCACATACTGCACACGAGTCAGGATGTTTTCACTCCCTCTTACTAAGTGCCCCTTCCCAGGGCAGCCGTCCTGACAGGAGGTGGCTTCGTGAGCATTTCCTCGAAGTTTAAGACCACATGTAGCTCTTCTGAGCAATGAAAATGGTACTGCGACAATCTTTGTGAATGGCCCACGTGTGAGACTACTGGTGTGTTTTTCTTTCTTTCAGAATGCCAGTGACCAGTATCTGGGAGAAGTATTCTTTGACACCTCGCTGTGTGTGCACTGCGTTTCCCTCCTGGCTCTCACGTACCGAGGACTGTGCTCGGCGTTTATTAGTGCTGTCTGGGTGGCCTTTCCCTTGCTCACAAAGCTTTGCGTGCACAAAGACTTTAAGCAGCATGGTACGGTATTTGGGGTTTTGATGCAAATGGGAAAATACCTTAAAATGCTTACGACAAGATTTGCATGGACTCTTCCCCCCCCCCTTTGGTCTTTGGGGGTAGGCTTTCAAGATCGTTGCTGTTTGTTTTTTTAAATGTTAAGAGATTTTCATCCTGTACCTCATACCCCATGCCATGCTCACATTTACGAACCCATTAGCTAATGATGTATTACATACTCTGTTGCATTATTATCTGTATTTTATTGTCACTGGATAAAAGCGTTCTGTCTCATGTACACCAGTACTATAAAATCTGGATCTCACTGTAGAATTTCAGAGATGTGTGTTTTCTTTCTCGTTTTCCCTAGGTGCCCAAGGAAAATTTATTGCCTTTTACCTTTTGGGGATGTTTATTCCTTATCTTTATGCATTGTACCTCATCTGGGCAGTATTCGAGATGTTTACCCCCATCCTCGGGAGGAGTGGTTCGGAAATCCCACCTGACGTCGTGTTGGCTTCCATTTTGGCTGGTTGTACCATGATCCTTTCTTCCTATTTTGTAAGGAAAAAACATTTAAATTTTTTTTCTTCTTTCTTCATTTTTTATATAAGTGTGTGATGAGTTTAGCTACAGTAGATTCTGTGAAATAGTGTTGCTTTATTGAGAAGCCCCTACGCAAAAGAAATGGGGAATGTGTGTGTAGAATGTGGGTGAAATGGGGTGGTTTTGTTTTGTTTTTAACCTCCTTGTCCTCCCAAGTCCTCTGGTTATATCTCTTCACAGCTCTCAAACTACCTGAATGTGAATTTGTAGAGTGCATACCAAGTAAGATCTGGTGGAGACTGCTTAGTGTTAGATTTTTATTTATTTTTGTTTATTTATTTTAAAGATTTTATTTGGGAGACAGCGAGTGAGCATGAGCTGGGGTGGAGGGGGCAGAGGGAGAAGCAGAGTCCCCGCTGAGTGGGGAGCCCGACATGGGACTTGATCCCAGGACCCAGAGATCATGAGCCAAAGGCAGATGCTTAACCGACTGAGCCACCCAGGCGCGCCAGGTGGTGGATTTTTAGAATGACTCCTAATAGTGTGTTTTCAACTTTCTAATGAGAAGCAAATGTTAGTAAATACACGGTAGTTTTATTAGTGCTCTTAGAGCTGGTGGAGGGAGGCTGAATCTGATGAGGCTTTTTCCGTTATCACTCAACTGACTTCCCGGCTGCTAACAGTGCGGAGTTCACTGATGGGGCCTGTCTCCTTGGGTGACAGACACTGAGGATGCAGAGTGTCACAGGCCTTGTCATTCTGCTTTGTCAGTGCTCTGCCCTTGCAGGGAGAGTCCTACCTTTGCCATCCCTGTTTCTCCTCCCCGGGATTCTGCAAAGGGAAGACAAGCCCCAATGTGTGAGCAAGTTCCAGGCAGGGTTCTGCCCTGGGCATGGTGTCCTCAGACCTGGCCCCTCTCATGGAGGCCGGTCTCTGTGGTGTGGCTCTTTTCGTTGGAATTCCCGAAAATAAGAAGTGTTACTGCATACCCATAGATACACTCCAAGATTTGCAGTTAGGGGACTAGATAGAAAAAACAGTTGTGGCTTTACTCTAGTTTTTTCCTCCACAGAGATGATGGTGAGCCTTTCCATAGTGATACGGTGAAGGGCACGTCATACGGGGGTAGAGACGGCACATAAGGATACCACGTGCGTGCTCGGCAGCCTCCGTGCAAGTCCCTTAAACAGGCAGTAAGCAGCCGTGTGCCCAACTGTGTATCCGGCCCTGGAGAGCGGTTCTTCCGCACACTCTTGTTTGCGATCGTCTGAGCATTCCAGCCATCTGGCCTTTAATAGAATGATTCAGTCCTTACTGGTTTGCAGGGGTGGATGGAGAATTCTGAAATGTTCTTTGATGTCTCCAGGATTTACTTCTTTGGATTTTAATGTTAAGCCTTTAAATTCTCTGTGCTGGTCACTAAAGGGTTTGGCAGCTGTGAGGGCTGAAGGGGTCTGGGGTTCATCACATGTAGATTAGGTTGCGATCCAGAGTCAGCAGAGTCATGAACTGGGTCCCCCCCCCCCAGTCGGTGGGTGAAAGCTGTTAGTGCTCAGCAGTAATGATCAAAATGTGGGGCGTTTCAGTTCCGTCCCATGTGCAACAGCACAAACTAAACCCTGACAACTTCACCGTGGAGACAGAAAATGACCCCCGAGGAAGGGAATCCCGGAAACCACAGAGGGAGGACTGAGGTGTATTGCCTTCTGAATTATATTTTAGTAGGAAATCTTCCGGAGAGTGCCTCTTGGGATACTTCGGCGGCTCGTTTACTTTTCACCAGAAGGTGGAAGTGGCTGCACCGTTCACTCTGCGCCTCACCTCTGCGGAGCGGCCTCGGGGCGGCGGATGAGTAGAGGCAGCAGGTCTCCGCTGCTGGGGGAGATGAGCCGAACTGCCGGTCTCCAGAGTTCTTCTTTCAGGGCACAGGGACTGACTGAGTCCGCTTGCTAGGAAGCAGTTAAGGGCCCGTCCGGTGGCAGGGTAGCCGGTGTCCTGGGGTTGTCCCGATTAGCTGAGACTGCTGCTGAGGGACCGCGGGACACTCAAGAACAAGACAGCCAGCACCCATGGGCGCTGCAGAGACCCTTCTCATGCTCTCTTCGTTCCATTTCACACGCATTTGGGAACCCAGTGATGGTGATGTCACACTTAAGGCAGAAAGAAGAGTGAAATCGAAGGTAGTGGCATCCAGACGCATCGTCACTCCTGTGCCCTGTGATTGCAGCTCATTCGCCGCGGTTACCGGGCCTCCAGGAGACGTGCGGGAGGGGCGGCAGATGCGCCTCGTGGTTTGAGGAGGGAAAGGGAATGTGGGAGCGTGGCTTACGCGGAGGCTTTAGGACCACGTAGCGGCTGGACGTGGGTGGAAGGAGCCACGGCCTAGGACAGGCAGGTCTTCTTTTGATCTGAGAGACTCTCCACACTAAGCTGGGCAGCCTTCCCGTGGAGGGGAAATCGTTACTTGGTGGGATGTTTGACACTTCTCTGGAACCACATTTTAAAATCTTACGACTTTTAGGACCGAGAGGGACCGACAGGGTAACACATTGTAGTCTTGCTAACTCACGGTCCGAGCTCCCTTGGGTACTGTCCTGTCTTTGCTCACAGTGCACGAACGCAAGATCGTTGACCCGAGACCGGTACCGTTTTGCGGGAGCTGAGCCCGGCTGGCATACTGATGCACTGCAGCTTTATAGTCCTTTAATTCATATAGTAGAGCGTATGGTGGGTTATGAATGTTTGCCCGTTTTCTCATTTTCATCTCCATTAAAGTCTTTTCACATTCATGCTCTGCTTACCGACCCTGGAGGGTGGGTGATAAGGGGGAGGAGGCACCAGGGGAGCTGGGATTGGGTCAGTGTGGCTCCTTCCGAACCCCTGAGGGATCTGTGGGTGCACCCCGTGAGTCACGTGTGTCCCCCACAACTTCAATTTCTGTGATTTCATGGCCACTAACAAGCTGGTAGAAGCAGGTCTAGGATGTGCTAGATGCCCCTGCCCAAGGGCAGATGTGCTGATAGGTTGTGTTGGCTCTGGTTCCTCAGCCCCCGAAGGGCCAGGCCCACACGTGGTGTCCTGATGGTGCATCTAAGTGCAAGTTCAGACGAAGCCAGCACCGCGGCATGGTGCCAGAGCATCAGGAGCGGAACCTGAGTTTCCTTGGGACCGGCTTGCTTACGCTTACACTCTTACCTCCGGTTCTTTAACAAAAGCCTGATGGCATGATGTTTGGTGGACAGGTGGCGTCTACTGTGCCGTGGTTAACGCGGGGCATTGACAGAATCAGAAGTAAAATAAGGTCATGGTTTGACTCGTGCTGGGTCTCCATCCTGGTATCTTTGCCGACGGTACCGAGACCCCGTCTTTGTGTCCTTTCCCGTCTCGCCAGCCAGCTGCCTGGCACCAGCAGGGCTCCTGCCCGGGCCGCCAAGCCCCAAGGCGGCGCTAATCTGCCAGGCGTGGGGTGCCGGCAGGCGCTCCTCTTGGTCGCTCGGTGACACCTGGTACAGAGCCGGCGGTAACTGGCCTGTTTCTGCGTTCTGCTTTAGATTAACTTCATCTACCTTGCCAAGAGCACAAAGAAAACCCTGCTGACTCTCTCCTCGGTGTGTGCGGTCACACTCCTCCTGGTCTGCAGTGGCGCATTTTTCCCGTACAGCTCTCATCCCGCCAGCCCGAAGCCGAAGAGGGTGTTTCTCCAGGTAAGAGCAGCTTCGCGTGAGGGTCTGGAGGGGAGTGCCTCGTGTGTGCCGAGCTTCACCAGGCGCCAGGGAAGCCAGCAGGCTTGGCCTGTTTATTCACTTGTGCTCAGCTCTTGTGCGTGCGGCCGTGAGGAAAAGCCTGACCACCGAGAGGCTTGCTGATCTGCGACACGCTCCTCCCAAGGGGCTGAACTAGACACGTCAGCTTGTTTTGTTAACTGTTCAAATTATAAAAATGCCCCTACCTAGAAAAACAAGAGCAAGTATGTGCTGTGGAGTAAAGAGCTGTTAGAAGGACAGATCGTAAAAACGTCTGCAGGCTGAGAAAAAATCTGAATTCCACTGGTAAAATAAAACTGATATTTTAAAATGCTAATAAAAGTGATCTTAGGTAGGGGCACCCGGGGGTGGCTCAGTCAGTTAAGCATCTGCCTTCGGCTCAGGTCATGATCCCAGGGTCCTGGGGTCGAGCCCCACCCACATCGGGCTCCCTGCTTGGCGGGAAGCCTGCTTCTCCCTCTGCCGCTCCCCCTGCTTGTGCTCTCTCTCTCTCTTTCTGTCAAATAAAGGAACAAAATCTTAAAAAAAAAAAGGGGGATCTTAGGTAGCCTTTGAGGTAGGATGTCAATAATGAAAATACAGTAACTTAGAGAGGGACGAGTAACACGGGATTTAGAACGTCCGTGGATTTTAGGTTTTCAGCAAACTTTCTGAAGTTGGCAGTATAACTCAGGAGAAAGAACTAAGCTGCCTTATTTTTCCAGTCATTTTCTCTCAGACTGACAAACAGAAAAGCCAACTTCAAACGGGGGCGCCTGGTCGGCTCGATCGGTAGGGCACACGACTCTGGGTCTCGGGGTCGTGAGTTTGAGCCCCACATTGGGCGTAGAGCCTACTTGACAAAAAAATCTTAAAGGAAAAGGAAGAAAAGCCAAGAGTCATAACCCAGGTAATTATTCATGGACTTGAATAACAGTAACACTTGGAATATAAGTTACCAGGGAGGAGATACTGACAAAGGGCCAACTATTCCTTGTTTATAGTCCTGGAGGACACAGCGATATGCCTTATGTGACAAACCTGACAATTTACAAAACCTTGAGTGAAGAACAGCTCCTTTTTAGGAGAGTCAATGTGTTTTCAGTGACTTGCTAAAATTTTATAATTACGTTAGTAGTAGTTAGGAAAAACGACATTTTATTTTTAAAAACTCCTGTTCTGATTTGTTTGCAGTTCTCTTCTTCCCCAGTGCTGGGAGTTGGCACACTTTTCCCGAAAAGGGTCAGGTAATAAATACTTGGGGCTCTGCCAGCCACACGGCCTCTGTCACTGCCGTTTTGTGGAGCACGAGTGGCCACAGCCGGTGCCTCCACGGGTGAGCGTGGCCTGCAGGCCCCAGTTCCCCGGCCCCTGCCCTGCGCAGTCCTCTCTTCCCGCTGCGCTGGCTGGAGCGTGGTGCCTGCGTCTGCCGGCTGGGGGTGAGCGGGGCTGTTTGTCTCTGCTCGGGACAGCTTCAGGCCGCCCTGAGAAGGGAGAGTGTGTGTGTCTCTCTCTTAGATGGATTTGTTTTCAGCCTTCATCCTAACGGAGTTCTGATGTTCGTGTCTTTTAAATCTGAAATAGGTTTTCAGAAAAGTTTTAATAAAATTTAAATATACAAATCTATTTGTAAGAAATAATAAAACTCTGTATTTCTGTATCCATCGTCGACTTAACATCAGCAGTGCCTGCTAAGAACCAGCGCCCCCTTCTCGATCCCACTTCTTCCCCCTCCCCTGCCCCGCCCCCAGGGAAATACGGTCTTGAAGTTTATTACCTCTTCTGAACCGCGTACATACGGGTCCCTAAACAGGAAGATACAGTTTGCCTCTTTTTGAGCTTGTTACAAAGCTGTACCTAGTAAATATTCCTTTGTGACTGGCTGCGTGTGGCCCGGCAGTGTGGGACAGGCCTCCGTGTTACCTCGCGTCACTGTGGTTCAGTGACGGGGTTCACTTGAAGCCCCTTCTGCTGGTGGACATTTTGGTTGTTTGCACCGTTTGCTACCACGGACGGAGCTGAGCCAGCGCTCCCGAACCTTGCCTGCGTCTCTCTAAGGTTCCCCTGCAGGAGCACGATGGCGGGCTTGACCGGTCTGTGCATGTGTAGGTGACGCTCAGCGGTCCCCTGAGGTGGCTGTGCCCACCCCGCCCCTGCCAGCAGTGTGTGAGGGGTTCAGTTGTTCCATAGCCACATCAGTTCTTGGTTTTGTCACATTTACCCGTTTTTGTTAATCTGGAGTGGGGATGCGGGTGAAGGGATTCAAGCAGTAGCTTTCTCATCGGTCTGTTCTTTGCAGCATATGACTAGAACATTTCATGACCTGGACGGACACGTAATGAAACGGGACTCCGGAATATGGATCAATGGGTTTGATTACACGGGCATGTCTCACGTAACGCCTCACATTCCTGAGATCAATGATACCATCCGAGCTCACTGTGAGGAGGACGCACCCCTGTGTGGCTTCCCGTGGTACCTCCCGGTGCACTTCCTGATCAGGTTGGTCCCCTCGTGAGCTGCTGTCGCTGGGGGTGCATTTGTCTTGAGTCCTGTCACTGTGTGCCTGCCTCACTATTTACGTGGGTAACCCAGATGTCACGTGCCATGTGTGCTGTGTTCTCCGTCACTGCCCAAGTGGGATAAAGCACTCAGAAGCTTACTGTTGCTTTTTCAAATTTAGGAAGTCTGTCCTCTAGAAGCCCGAGCAGTCAGAAAGGCTGGGCCCAAGAGATAGCAGTGAAGCTTTCGCTTCAGACCGTTTCATTTCTGGGACGTTTTCGTGGTTTGGTGGGCAAGGGCTGGATAAGAAGGAGCAGGATGGGTAGCGGAATCAAGATCACCTAGAAGGTTCTTACTTTGGGGAAGGTTTTATTACACATTAACAGGCTTTTAGAGTCATTAGCATGGTTTATTCTGCCCGGCAGAGATTGTTTTCATACCCAGAATGTGAGTCATATATTCGGACCACTTCCATGAGTCAGAGATAGCTGTCAGCTAAAATTAAGCATTCTAAATATTGAAGCTACCTTTCCAAATAGGAAAAATTGGTATCTTCCTGCCCCAGAAGTTTCTCCAGGAGATCCTGCTCATTTCAGACTCGTGTCCAAAGAACAGACACCCTGGGATTCTGTGAAGCTGACGTTTGAAGCCACAGGTAAGTGACAGGACAGTGTTTTCTTCTCTCTTTCACTTCCTAACATTCTTATGTATTGTTTTCTTTAAATGATAGTGACTAGCAACTTAGGGGGAACTTAGTGTTTCTAAGAGCACTTAAAGCTCATTAAGACTTTATTTTTTTAGAGTGGTTTTAGGTTTACAGAAAAATTGAGCAGAAAGCAGAGCTTCCCCCCCCACCCCGCAGCGCCCCCCCACTTGCCTTATTATCATCTTGCCTTGGAGTGTGGTGTATTTTCTAAAACGGATGAGCCAGTGCGGATACATTATTAGTAATTGAAGTCCCTGGTTTACATTTAGGCTCAGTTCACTCTTGTGTTGCATAGTTCTGGGGGGTTTTTGGACAAATGTGTGATGTCGTGTCCCCACCGTATCACACACAGTAGATTCTCGGCCCTGAGCCTCCCCTGTGCTCCCCCCATTCATCCCCCCTCCCCACTCCCTCTGGCCAACACTGACTTTGTTACTGTTTCTACTGTTTCTGCTTTTCCAGAGTATCCTATAGCTGCAAGCATATGATTTGTAGCCCTTCCCACTTTGCATATGCATTTCAGGGCCTTCATGTCTTAGGGGCTCGAGAGCTGTCTTCTTTTTACTGCTCAGCAGCGATATGGACATGCCCCAGTTCGGCCGTTCCCCTGCTGAAGGACGGGCTGCTTGGTTGCCTCCAGTTTTTGGCAAAGCTGCTGGAAGCATTTGTTTGCAGGTTTTCATCTAGGCATGTTTTTAACTCACCTGGATAAAAACCTAGGAGTATGGTTGCTAGATTATGTGGCCGGCCTATATTCACCTTTGTCAGAAGCTGCCGGACTCTGCGAGCACGGCTGCGCCCTGTGCGCTCCCAGCCGCACTCGGCGATTCTGGCCATTCTGACAGAGCGCTGGTGGTGTCTCCCTTTCCGTGTGCAGTTCCCTCCTGACTCACGGTGTGCAGCATCTTCTCACGGGCTCCTGCCGTGTGTGTCACCCCTGGTGACGTGTCTGTGTATTAACTGGGTGGTTTGATTTCTGTGGTTGAAGCTGAAGAGCTCTCCGTGCACGTGGATAGAAGTCCTTTCTATCAGATAAGTGATTTGCAAATATTTTCTCCCAATCTGGTCGTCTTTTCATTCTCTGAAGAGTGTTTTTAAATTTAATGAAGTCCAGTGTAATCAGTTTGTCTTTCATGGGGCATGATTTTGCTGTCGTGTGTAAAAGTCATTGCCAAACCCAGGGTCTCTGGATTTTCTCTGATGTTACCTTCTGCAAGTTTAGTGTTTTCTATTTAGATCCATGAGCGATCCATTCTGAGTTAATTTTTGTGAAAGGTGTAAAGTGTGAGTGTAGGATTCTTTTTTTTTTTTTTTGCACGTGGATTTCCCGTTGTCCCACTATCGTTTGTTGAAGACTGTCCCGTCTCTGCTGAACAACTCTCTTGCGTTGTCGGACATCAGTTGGCTGTATTCGTGTGGGTCTATTTCTGGGCTGTCTGTTCCGTTTATCTGTTTCTCTGTTTTGTCATTACGGTGCACTCCTGATCAAGTCTTGAAGGGGGGTAGTATCTGTCCTCTCCAACTTTATTCTTCTTCAGGATATTGCGTGTCTTTTGTCTTTCCATGTATCAATTTGTCACAATCCACAATAGAACTTCCTAGGATTCTGACTGGAATTTCATTGAAATCTATAGATTGGGTAAATGACATCTTAATATTTTTTCCTATCCATGACATGGAAGGTCTCTCCATTTATTTGTATCTTGTTTTCTTTCATCAGAACTATATTTTGTAGTTTTCCTCGTATAGATTCTGTACAACTTTTGTTAGATTTGTACCTAAGACTTTAATTTTTGGGGATGCTGATGTAAATGTAAATAGTATTTTTCATTGACGGTATATAGGAAAACAGTTGATTTTGTTTATTAACTTGATATCCTGCAACCTTGCCATAATGATTTATTAGTTCCAGGAGTTTTCTGTTGTTGTTGATTCTTTGGGATTTCCTACATAGATGATCATGTTCCCTGCAAACAAAGACTATTTTATTTCTTCCTTCCCAATCTTTTTTATCTTTTATTACCTTTTCTTGTCTTACTGCATTAGCTAGGACTTCCAGTACTGTGAACAAGAGTGCTGTGAGGAGTAGTAAGAGTGGGGATCGTTGTCTTGGTCTTGGTCTCGGTGGGAGAGCGTCTACATTTTTACCGGGTATCACGTCGGCTGTAGGTTTTCTGTAGATGCTCTTTCTCAGGTTGAGAAAACTCCCCTCTATTTTTAGTTTGCTGAGCTTTGCCTATGAATGGATGTTGAATTTTGCTTTTCTCTTTCCTGATGTGACCAGGTGATTTTTCTTCATTAGCCTTTTGGTGTGATGGATTACATTAACTGATGTTCCAAGGCTGACCCAATCTTGCGTACATGGAATAAATCCCCCCCTGGTTGTAGTATATAATTCTTTTTACACAGTGCTGGACTTGATTTGCTAATATTATGTTGAGGATTGGTTCTCTTTCTCTGGAGAACTCTTAACACAGGAAGTTCATTTTTAAAAAAGTTCCTGCTACTGTTCACTTTGTACCATTCTTGAGCTTCATGTAAATAGTCTTCCAGTACGTAATATTCTAGGTCTGGGTCACTAAGCATGTTGTTGGTTCCCCACAAGGAGTCCAGGAGAATTCCAGCTTTTCCACATTCTCTCCAGTGTTTGCTGTTCTTTTCCATCGAACCATTGCTGTGGGGCATTTAGCACTTCCCTGGTAGCTGATGATGTAGGGCACTCTTCCAAGTCCCTATTGGAAGATACTCAGTTACCTTGCTTTGTTTCCTTTTCCCTTTTAAAAATTGGACTTAGTGACTTGCAGGAGTGCGTATGTTCCAGATCACAGTCCTCTATCAGATATGTATGTATCAGATTCCGAGATTTTCTTGTCCATTCATTTTCTTTTTTTCTTTTTTTAAAGATTTTATTTATTTATTTGACAGAGAGAGACACAGCGAGAGAGGGAACACAAGCAGGGGGAGTGAGAGAGGGAGAGGCAGGGTTCCCACGGAGCAGGGAGCCCGATGCGGGGCTCGATCCCAAGACTCCGGGATCATGACCCGAGCCGAAGGCAGACGCTTAATGACTGAGCCACCCAGGCGCCCCTCCATTCATTTTCTTAATGGGGTCATTTGATGTGCACAAGTTTTAAATTTTTATAAATTCCAATTTATCAGGTTTTTCTTTAGAATTAGTACTTTATGTGTCCTCTCTAAAAAAAAACCTTGTCTACCCAGAGGTCACAAAGATAGACTCATGTTTCCTTCTAGAAGCTTCATTTAGCTGTTATGTTTAGGCCTTGAATTATATACCTTGAATTTAATTTAATTTTTGTGTACGGTGGGAGGTAGAGGTCAAGGTTCTTTTTTTTTTCTTTATGGATATCCAGTTGTTCTAGCATCATCTCTTGAAGAGATTTACCTTACCCTGTTGAACTGCTTTGGCATCTTTGTCAAAATCATTTGATTGTATATACCTCAGCTTTGCCCACTTTTTTACCAAACTTCCTCTTCCACAAGTAGCTTGCTTGGTTTTTGTATTTTTGGGTGACTGTAGCCATCATTATATTTACTGTAAAAAGTAAATAATTATATCTGTTGTGCTAAGGCATAGTTTACTCAGTTTAACACAGAAGGGACTTGGAAATCTCGTACACGGAAAACTGGTGGAGGACACAGATGGTGGTAGTGAGATCGTACAATTTGGTAGTTAACCAAGGGAATGGAGCACTTACAGGGAATTAAGAGCCTTGGCTGATGCTTTCAAAGGCAGATACTTTTGTTTCTCTAGGCTTTTAAAATTTAATTGGAAATAAATTTATTTTGCACCAGCCGGTTCTCGTGTTCATGCCAATAATTATTTCTGATTTTTATTTAATCACCAGCTTGTAAAAAGGGAGCGCAGGAAAGGCCAAACCTTTCTCTATCCTTTATGTACAATTTGGAGAACTGCAGTAAAATTCCGGTTCCTGGCAGGCAAGTTACACATCTACTGCCCTGTGTTTTGCGATTATAAATGTCATGAAATCAGAAAAAATATTGGACCATATATATGTGTGGGTCTGTTTGTATACCTGTGTACCTGTGACCACGTTTTAATTATAGAAGCTTTGTTAAGCTTCTTTTGAGGGTTAAAGATCCTTTATAATTTTTGTTTTTCGGGATTTTCCTTGCTATTTTTGCATGTTTGTTTTTCCATAGGAACTTTAGTATGACTCTGACATAAAACTTATTGCTTATTGGTATTTTGGGGAGTATCATAATTTATAAATTAAGGAGAGCTGACATAATATTGTCACCCTATCCAAGAACTGGGAATGTCAACCTTTCATGTGTTCATGTCTACTTTTGTGTTTTTCCTCATCTAGTTTTTGTTGCTATTATAATTGGGGTTTTCTCTACCGTTATGTTCTCTTAACTGGTTATATTTTGTATGTCAATTTTGTATCTTGCTACCTCACTGAATCTTTTACTTGGTGAGTTAATCATTGCTTCTCTAGAGTTCCCCAGGTATACTAGGAATTGTCAATCTTTAAATGGCCAGGGCTAGTAAACACTTTGGGCTTTGCTGCATGTCCCTATTGTGGATTTTTTATTAACTGCTTTTTTTTTTTTTTTAAGATTTTATTTATTTGAGAGAGAACGAATGAACGAGCATGACTGGGGGGAGGGGCACAAGCAGACACAGGGCTGGATCCCACGACCCTGGGATCATGACCTGAACTGAAGGCAGACGCTTAACTGACTGAGCCACCCAGGTGTCCCTTAACTGCTTTTTAAACACGTAAAAACCATTCTTAGCCTGAGAGCCTTACAAAAACAGAACTCAAGTCTTGCTTGTTGACTACTGTGTATCGTCTGCAAATACAGTCTTTCTTCTTTACCCGTCCTCAGGCCTGTAATTGGTGTGTGTAAGTGCCTGGTGCCGCTCGTATGGTGTGGAACGGTGTGGACGTGGTGAGTGGGCATCCTTGCTTTACGTAGAGCACAGATGTCTAGTGTTTCCCAGCGTGTGAGAGGCGAGCCTTAGGCAAGCATTTATCAGTAGTCATGTCTTGAATGTTTTTATAAGGAATGGGTTTTAATTTTGGGAAAGGCTACTTTCAGCATCTGTAAAGATAATCCTAGGATTTTTCTTCCTTGGGTCTTTTGATATGGTGTTTTCCACTAGGCCGTGGCTTGTTATTTTCTTTGCATGATGTTGGATTTTGTTTGCTAATATTTAGAAATTTTGAGTTAATACTCATGAGTAATATTGGTCCATGTTTATTTTTTTTGGTACTCTTTAATCAGATTTAGGTATGTGTTACACATTATAAATGTATAAACATCATGAAAATGGTAAGCTGTCCTTCATTTCGAATGCCTTGGAACAGTTTTGGAAGCATTTAACAATCTGGTTGAAAAGTTGGCTTATATTGCTCTCTGAAACCATCTGGTCATGGTCCTTTTTTTGCAGGGTAGTTTAACTTATTCTTGGGAAATTGGTCTGCTTAAGATTTGTATCTCTGTTGTAATCTATTTTCCTTAAAAAGTATCCATTTCATCTGGGTTTCCAAATTTAATAGTATAGAGGTCTGCAGAGTCGTCACATGTGATTTTAAACATTTCTTCTATTTTTCTTATTCTTTTTGTATACTTGTGTTTTCTCCACTCCCCTTCCCCTGCCTCTTTCTTAGCCAGGTTAGCTAGTAGTTAATTTTAAAAAAGAATAGATTTTTTTCACTAAATTACAGCGGTTTAGTTCTATTCTCATTCTTTTGTTGATTTCTGCTTTTTGCTTTATCTGTAACATTTCCTTGTTTTTTTGTTCTTAGTTGTACTTAAATTTTGATTTAAATTTTATTTAAATAGATGAAAAAACATTTATTACAATGGATTTTCTTCTTATCGCTGCTTTTACATGTACCCGGTAGTTTAATATGTAATATTTTCATTGTTTACAAAAAATTTCTGTAATTTTTGTTCAGATTTCTTCTTTAACCCAAGTCTTTTATAAATTTATTTTTAAGGATTTATTTATTTGAGAGAGCATGCCCCGAGGGCGGAAGGAGAGGCAGAGGCAGAGAGAGAATCCCAAGCACACTCCCTGCTAAGCAGGAAGCCCAAAACAGACTTGGTCCCATGACCCATGAGAGCATGACCTGAGCGGACGCCAACAGTCGGATGCTGAACCGACTGAGCCACCCTGAGTCTTTTAAGTAGATTTTTAAAATTTCTAGGTAGAAGGCCATCATTTTGTTTTATTGATAATTTCAAGTTTTACCAAATTACAGTCAGTGTTACTTATATTTCAATTTTATAGAACCGGTATTTCCTTCATAAATACCTAATATTAATGTTTTGTGCCCACTGTACATGCCCGATAATGCAGAATTTATCTTCTAAAGTTGGATATATATGTCCATATGATCTACTTCACGGATCATTTGTTTTGCTCTTTTTATATCCTTTTTGTTCAACTGATTAGTCTCTTACTTGTGTCTGGCTGCATGTATATCTTTTTTGCATCTCCTGTAGATTTGCTTCATTAAGCAGTTGCTGTCACTTGATGCACAGAATTCACAATGTCATATCACTGTGAATTAAAGCTTTTAGTATTAAAAAGTGCCTTTTTACATGTAATGCTTTTGTCTTGAATCCTGCGGGTTTTTTTCTGAGATCAAAGAGGTCTTTTTATTTGAGAGAGAGCATGCGCAGTGGGGAGGGGTAGAGAGAGGAGCAGGGAGCCTGATGCAGGGCTCGGTCCCAGGACCCTGGGATCATGACCTGAGCCGCCCGGGCGCCCCGAAAGTTTTTAAAAACTGTGTCCACTTTGTTCATACTGTTATTTTTACCCTTTCTGAATCTCTTTTAAGTATATTTCTTGAATACGATAGATGACTGGATCTGGCTTTTTAAGCCAAGTTGAAGTTTTTTCTCCTTCTAGTTGCTGATTAGATCTATTCACATTTATTTTTAGGACTGATGCATTTGGTCTCCACCTTGTGCTTTATTTGCTATATTCCTTTGTTGTAGGACAGGTTCTCTTTGCTCTTTAACTAAAAAGAGTATTTTGTGGCATTTAGGAAAGTTTTTTTGTTTTGACCACATATTATGTAACATTTCACTGTCTCAGTTTTTAGTGGCCTTAACCCTACAAGTCTCTACAACTCTGCTTCCTCGCTCCCTCTCCATGTTGGCTGCATTATATCTTGGGCTTCCACCCTTACTGGACCCCCGCCCTCGTAACGTGTTTGGGTCTATTAAAATCCTATCTATTCTTTTGCTACAGTTCTTGAAGTTACCTCTTGGCTTGATGAAGCTTATTCTCTAGATTTCTGAAGGACTCACATGCACTAGGTTCTTGTAGGTTTCCTCATTGTAAATTTTACGCCTTTTCTGCTGGAGCTCATTACTTGCCCCGGTTGATACCACGGAGTGGAGGTGCAAAGCAGAACCTCCGGTAGGTCTGTAGTGAGTATCTGGAAGGTGACACGAGGCATGTCCTTCAGGGGCTGGTTTGGTGGCGCATTAACTGCTTTCCTTGATGCTTTTTAAAAGGTGAACTCTTCTTCCTCTTACCTTACAGGACCGAGCCACATGTCCTTCTACATTCGAACCCACAAAGGGTCAACACTCTCTCAGTGGTCTCTTGGCAACGGCACCCCGGTCACAAGTAAAGGAGGGGACTACTTCGTGTTTTACTCCCACGGGCTCCAGGCCTCTGCATGGCGGTTCTGGATAGAAGTACAGGTAGGAATTTCCCCGAATTGCTGTCGTCACTGATCAGGCTCCCAGGTGACGTTTGGGATCATTATCCTGCCTTCCTAGAACCGGAGAACTAAACTAATTTTCTCTGCCAGGTCTTGGAAGAACGGCCTGAAGGAATGGTCACTGTGGCCATTGCTGCCCACTACTTTTCTGGGGAAGATAAGAAATCCTCCCAGCTGGATGCTCTGAGAGAGAAGTTCCCAGACTGGACATTTCCCTCTGCCTGGGTGTGCACCTACAGTCTCTTTGTGTTTTAGTCTTCTGGAGGAGCGCGGTTTGGATGCCCAGCAGGATACCCCCCGTGACGCGGTTTCTCCCCGCGTTAACATGGATGTCTGTAAGTCAGTGATTTTGAATGAGCACCTGTTCAGAGAGCTTCGTGGGCTGACACTCTTCAGGGCCCAGCATGATGATGGGGACACTGTGGGGTAGGGACGTGTGGCCTGACACTTGAAAGCACCGGCTTCCTGGCTCCGAAGCACTGTGGGCACCACCACAACACCCGTCATTCTCTGGGACCTTAAGGATAAAAGCCAACAAACCACTTGAGTAGTTATTACCCCTTAGGATCATGACAGATGTAGAAGGTACTGTGAGCTGTGCATGGGACAAAGGACATTTCCAGGTGAAGGCCAAGATGGTTTGGTCAGAGGATGGTAGCTAAAATCCGTTCGCTGGAGTCAAGACTCCCCTGAAATGGAACCTTAGGGGTCAGAAGGCAGGGACAGCGAGGGCTGGGGGCTCCCGGGGCTGCAGCCTGGGCCGAGGGCTCTGCTGCTTCAGGCAGCTGCTCGAACGTGCTTGGCTCCTCTGGAGCGAAGCCCAGAGTCCCGACATGGGAGCCTGTGTCGAGCTGGGGATGCACATCCTTCTGACACGTGGTTCCTGAGAGCCGTCACTGTGATGCTTTTCGGAGTTGCTTTCAAGGCCCGATGTCTAACTTTTCCCCTGTCCACTTTGCCGGTTTCAGCAGAGCGTTTGTTCAGCTGCCTTTCCTGAGGGGTTTTTCCAGGCTCTTCCGGCTCAGGCTGTCGTGGGTCGGTTCCGCCCTCAGAGCCCAGGGTTGCCACGGTGGCTGCTCTGGGCTGGGAAGTGAGTGGGGTGACGAGTGGCTGGGCATTTTATAAATATTGATTCTCTTCATTTAGTAGGCATGTCCTGTTATCCAAGGTTAATCCTTTGGGGCATAACTTTATCGATGCACTGAGTCCTTAGTTTTGTTGGTTTTCTCGCCGGTCTCAATCATCCGTCCGTGTCCAGCAGAGCTGGCTTTCCCGGGGCTACAGGTGCTGGCTTCGCCTGCAGCGAGGCCACTGGCCCTGCAGCCGCTGAATGAGGATCCGGCAGAAGGGCAGGCCGAGGACCTCAAGGTGCTTTTCATTTAGAAGACGGCGGTGTGGCTTGGGAGGTGTGTCTCGGCTCTGGCAGTGGAAGGGTTTAGGGAGATGAGTGGTCAGTTCTCCTAGCTTGCTCTTTTCCATTAAGAAACTGGAAAGGTTGGACAAATTCTGAGTTTAGCCAGCATAGGCCAAAAAGGCATTTTAAAGAAAAGCCATAGTAAAACAAAGTGGCACTAAGCGTGCGTCACAGGAGGACTTGTGACAGACGGATGCGGTGTGTTTTCTCAGGCCTGCTCCTCCCGGGCGCCCGCCCCCTGCCAGCAGTCGCGCCGGCGGACTTCTGACGTCGTCAGGTGGTGGGGAAGGGTTGCCGTGTTTGTAGCTTATAGAGAATCAGAGTTGCGGACAAAAAGTGATAGCTCAGTGAATTTCAAAATACAGCCTAGTTCTTTTGTCCCTGTGGCTGATCTGAAATAGATTTTATGGGTGGGGGATCCCATGTTGAGGTCGGGCATCGTATGAAAGTTATTTCCCCCCTTTGGGAAGAATGTGATTCCCTTTCAGTAATAATCATGGTTTTCTTTTTGCCTTTTTCTTTGTAAACAGTCTTTTTTGTTTTTGTTTTCAAGATGCTCACTGGTCTCAGGGCAGATTGCTTTAGTGCCAGAAATGGCTGAGTACGTCTCCTTACTCTTCATGCCGCTGTTAATAATCACACCGTCAGATGAGTCAGCAGCCTGAGACTGGAGTAGCTCCTCATTCAAAACTCACTTCTGAGAGGGCCTTTTCAAATTCTAACAAATGTAGTTTTCCCTACAGAATTTCAGTGTAAGTAGCCCAGTATTGCACATGTAGTGAGAGTGTCTGACCTTAGAAAGACTGCTGCATGAAGTACCTGTTTCCAGTTTAGCTGATGGAAATGAGCACCCATAGGGTTGCTAAGATGTCTCCACTGAAGGGGCCGCAGTCAGCTGCTCACTCAGGAAGCTGTAGGAAGAACAGTGGTCTTTCTTTTCACTGGTTTGCTGACTTGCTGAGGATTAATTGTTGCCTTACATTACTGAAACTTTTTAAACTCCTAGTTAGTTAGTATCTTAAGAGAAAAACCAGATCTTGTTTGTTCTGTATCCCCAGCTTTGAAGGGTTATTTCAAGTCTACAGAGCCTTCTTAAAGTCTTTTCTTTTTAATTGCTTTTAAAGACCTAGATGGCTCACGTGGGCAGAGCGGGTATGTGAGCAAAGAGCTCAATAAAGAAATACTGGAATGCTTTTTACTCTGGAATGAAATTGTGCATCATATTTTGTTAAATGTTGAGCTTTTTAAAATCCTCTCCATTGGCAAAGAAAATCACTGAAGGGCTAATCCAGAAGGATTGTGGGGGCAGGAGGAAGAAATGGTCTTTCAGCCAGTGGCCCACCACCCCCTCTCCTCTCCTCCCCAGGAACGGGGGCACTGCCACCCCCCAGAACAGGTCCTGGGCAAGTTCCTATGCAAGTTATTTTGCTTTCTCAGTGAATTGCCTCGGTACAGTTCGGTACACTTCCTCATCATGCACCTGCCGCCTTTTAGGGCCAATAAAGCCAAAAATGCATTTAGGCCTCTTTATGTCTGGCTCTTCTTTATTTGATTTGTAAAAATACGCACTAATGTATTTCAAGTTCGGCTCTATACTGTGACCAAGTGGGATTTATTAAAGGAATGAAAAGTTGGTCTAATACCTGAAACATCAGTGTAATACACCATCTCGACAGAGTCTTTTATCCTGGTGAGGAAGTCCCCTCCTAGGTAAAAATCACAGCTAACATCATCATCTGTGATGAAAGTCTGAAAACTTCCCCCTAAGGTCAGAAAGACCAGCATGCCCACTGCGGCCACTTCTGCTGAATATTGTTCTGAGGTTCTAGCAGTTTGGCAAGACACATCCAGATTAGAAAGGACAGATTTATATAGAAAATCCTAAGGAATCCACAAAAAATCTGTTACAGTTAGTAAATGAATTCAGTGTTACAGGAACCGCTATCAATACACAGATAAGCAGCTGTTTTTCTATAACAAAACTCTGCAATTGCATTAATAAAATACTTAGGAATAAGCATAAAAGTACAAGACTTTTACAGTAGAATTAAACACTGCTGAAAGAAATCCCGTGTTTGTTTGTGGATTGGCTTAATTAAGGTGGCAATATTCTCCAAGTTGATCCACAAATTGAACACAATCCCAGCTCGTATGTGCAGAAACTGACAATGTAATCCTAAAATTCATACAGAAATGCAAGGGACCCATAATAGCCCAAACAGTCTTGAAAAAACAAACTTACGAGTCATATATTCAAAACTTCCTACAAAGTAGGGACAGTAATCAAGACAGTGTGGTACTGGCTTAGTAAGAACAGAGATCAATATACACTTGACAGTCCACAAATCCGTATGTTTATAGTCAAATGATTTTTGGCAGTTCGGTGAGGAAAAAAAAAAACCTTTTCAGTAAATGGTGCTGGGACAACTGAATATCCACACACAAAAAGAACAAAGACCCCCCCCTCACTTCATACCGTACACAAAAATTAACTCAAAATGGGTCAAAGACCTAAACTGTAAAAAAACAAAAAATGCAAAACTCTGAGTAAACCATAGGCACAGATCTCCATAACCCTGTATTAGGCAGTGGTTCCTTACATACACCAAAGCACAAACAACCAAAGAAAAAGTTGGACTTCACCAAAATGAAAAACTTAATGCTTCAACAGACAGTGTCCTGAAAGTCACAAGCCCTTGGAATGAGAAAATACTTGCAAATCCTATCTGATAAGGGTCTAGTATCCAGAATGTATGAAGAGCTCTGGCAAATCAACCATAAAAGGATAAATGACCTAACTCTGAAATGGGCAAATCATACGAACATTTTTCTCTAAAGATACACAAAAAGCTGATAACTATATGAAAAGACATTAGCCACCACAAAAATCCACACCCATGCTATAAGGACGCACAGCTTCATACATAACTCAGATGGCTGTAACCAAACCCACAGCCAGCAACCAATGCTGATGCAAGAACTTGGAGCCCACCTTCTCTGCTAGTGGGAGCATAGAAGATGGCGCCGGCACTTTGGAATATGGTTGGGCATTTCCTCAAAACATTAACCAGGTATGTGACCAAGCATTTTCACTTCTAGAGAGAACCAAAAACTTCTATCCACACAGAAACTTGTACGTGAATGTTCATGACAGTCAAATGGTGGTAACCACCCAAATATCCCTCAGCTGATGAATGGATAAACAGAAGCAGTATATCCAGAAAGTGGAACATTATTCAGTACTCACGTACAAAGATGAACCTTGAAAATGTCCTGAGAAGTGAAAGAAGCCACACAGAAAAAGCCACAGATACAGGATTCCACTTACATGAAACGTCCATAAGAGAGAACTCCATAGAGACAAAGACTTAGGAAACTGGGGAACTCAGAATCACTTTTAATCCCACCTGTTAGAGACGGGGCCCAGTCTCCTCTAAACAGTTTTGTTTGGAGGAAATCATTTTGATTACATTTTGAACATTTTCTGTGTCCTCGAGATGGATTGTTCCTGCAAGCTTCTACAGTCAGGCTTATAGCTGCTGCCAACTCTTGATGGTCCTAAGTAATTCTGCATATAAATTTTAAATCTGAATTTGTAGTTACTTCATAAAGAAAATTCTAAGAGGTAGAATTACATAATGAAAAGAATATTCCCGTGGCTGAGGTGTTGAATAAACAAAGTTCCTGTAACGGTTTTATTGCCCTTTACCAAGTTAAAAAAAATAAATACACATTATAGAAGTAGCAGCAACTTTAATTACAAGCAAAGGTTGACTTTATCCCCCAAAATGACTTGTTTTGGTATCAGCAAATAAACTTCAAACAGTTATACTGAATACTTAAATTCATCGTTAAAATTATGGCTTCAACAATTGATATGTGAACCAAACAAGGCAAAATAAAAATATAAATTTTAAAAAGTAAAATATATAACAAATTACCAAAA